AAATGTGGAAGATGGGGACGTGTTTGAATAATCATGGGTCCTCCGATCGGATGAGGTGGCAATGAGCTAACCCATTCTGTTACAGCATCGACGGGCTTAACACTTCAACGATCGGCTTGCTAGATCTGCGGCGGCGGCTGGCAATCATCCCTCAAGATGCCGCTTTATTCGAAGGCACGATTCGTGACAATCTGGACCCGCGTCATGTGCATGATGACACTGAATTGTGGAGTGTGCTTGAACATGCTCGTCTGAAGGAGCATGTCTCGGAGATGCCTGGCCAATTGGATGCTGCAGTTCTCGAAGGTGGTGAGTCTGCCACTCTGTCTTCGCTAAAAGATCCCATGCACAAGTGAATTTGCCTTTCTCGTATTTCTGACTTTGGGATATTGGATTGCAGGCTCCAATTTAAGCCAAGGCCAACGCCAGTTGGTATCTCTAGCGCGTGCGCTGCTCACACCCAGCAACATCCTGGTCCTGGATGAGGCAACAGCGGCGGTCGATGTGGAGACGGACAAAATGCTCCAGGCCACGCTCCGAAGCAATATCTTCCAGAATCGCACCATAATCACCATTGCGCATCGCATCAACACCATTCTGGACTCTGATCGTATAGTAGTGTTGCAGCAAGGGCGGGTAGCAGAGTTTGACACCCCAGAGGAGTTGGTCAAGAAGCGTGGCCTATTTTATGAGCTGGTGCGTGAAGCTGGATTGCTCGATGGGTTCGGAAATGGAACAGCGGGTCCGGATCAGCACTAGAGTAGTCGTGAGAGAGCCTAGCGACCGAATGCTTCAAGCAAATCATCATTTGACGGGGAACGATTGCCCTTCGATCCGGCCCCGAGGTATCGGTACTTGAGCATCCCTTCCCTGATGATGACGCGCGATCTCGAATGACAGAGCAACGCCGCAAATATGGGTTGAAGGCCTGCCGATCCACTTTGGTGCCACAGAGCGCTCTACCGATACGCTGCCTTCGATACGGAAGCTGCGCTCTAAACAGCCGGGCTTTGGCTGGGATAAGAAAGATGCCTTCAGGGGAGAGAGAAAAGATTGAAAGATTACACAGGTTGTGGCACACCAGTGAGAATCGGAGCAAGCGCTCCGAACTTGACTAGTTAGCACTTGCAAGGACAGCCTCACCAGCCGGCATATGCTGTGTAACCCTTTGACGAAAAGGAGCAAACTCTGCATGGGTCATGAGCTGCAGCAATTGTTTGGGGATTCCCCTCCGTCTAGGCAGGCCCATCCTCATCGCAGCTGTCCTCCTGGTTGTGCAGATGGGCGCCGAAGGCGGCACAAGGCGAAAAGCTAGAATGGAAAGGTCGGACAAAATGTATGAATCCGTGCTGAGTGTAGCGAGGCGCTCTCAGATACATTGACTTCTATCCTTCTGGTATAGGTACCTCGAGCCATATCATTCCTGCTCTGTGCACACAGTACCTGATACCTATTAATAGTGTCTGTGTCCCGATCGTAGTTGCACGGTTTCACCAACCGCGTAAATAACAAATCCGGGCGTGGAGGCGACTTTCCTGTGATGGTGGTGGTGGTGGACCTAAAGCGGGCACGAAGAGTCGAGAGGTGGGGGATCTCGACGCAAGCAAGCGCCAGCGTGATTGTGGGATCGAGCCAGGTCCAGGCCCCTTGACCTTTGTACCGAAGAAGAAGGTGATGGTTACGACAGGGGGGTGGCCCTTGCTGAAAATATAGCCAAAAAGGAGACTTGCGGGCATTCCGTAGCGTGCGTATGTACAATCCTGCAGTAGCTAGGTCGCTTTGCAGGCATTCGCCATTGGCTGCAAGGGACTTCCGTCGAGTGAGGCCTGCACTCTTTCCATGTTTTTGCTTGAATCGCCTTTCAGGGCCTTACCTCTTGGGTGTGACTGTGGCTGCTGTACAAGCCGCCTGAGGGCGGAGATGAAGCGCGACATCAGGCGGTGCTACAATGGTCCAACTGCAATTCGTAACCTGGAAGCAAAGGTTCGCCTGGCGTGATAGCTTCTGTGCGCAGAGGCTTCTGCATTTCGGTCACTTTCCCCGCCCCCGGACGGCTGGGAGCCGTAGATCTCGGCCAGTTGTGACGGAAGGCAAACACACAATGTGAGGCCGCCTTCGTATAGAACGGTGGCCACAGCCAGTGATCGTCCGAGAACAGCCCCGCGAAAGTTTGAGCCTCAATGCTAGTACTTGTACACAAGCTCGGATTGCCCAAGACGAAAGGGGCTAGCTTTCTGGCTGCAAAATTGCAGAGGGTGGGTGGCGCTGGTTGAAGATCGATGTCAGAAGTGGGCGAAGGGGGTGACGAGATCACAATCTGAAGCCAGCCCGCCCGGCCAGGGGCGGTTTCTATTCGAGATACCTCGTACTCCGTACTCGGTATGCAAGCCGCCTCTTGGTTGCCTCTTGTCTCTAACCTCTCGGCAGCTCCCGTCTTGTCTTGCCGTTGGCCGGGGCTGGTCAATCGCCCAAGGTTTTGGAAGAGGGAAGATGTGACAGCATTCTGTCTGCAGTTTGCTTGCGTGGGAGAGAGCGAACAAGAGAGAGGCTAGTACTTTTGGAAGAGAGGAGATCAGGGAGTTTCCGGTGTCTGGATCTCTGACGAGCAGCAAACAACGTTAGCCAACAGGGGCGACTGGCCGAAATATGTCCAGGCAAGACTCACGGGCACGTTCATGACTGCTGTAGCCGAGACGGGGGTGATTGGACGATTCATTGATTGAGGGGTTTGACCAGTTGAGAGCATCCGCAGCACAGCGTGTGACACAAGGAGTCAGTTAGCGTGTGGTTTTTTGCCGATAAGTAGTACGAAACGGGCAGACGATGCCACGAAAGAGGGGGAGATGGGTATGAGAGCTAGGAGGAAAGAGGCTGCTGCTGATTGCAGTCGGTGCATGGGTGCAGTTCTGAGATGGGGTGTGCTGCGAGCTAGCACTAACGACCGATTCGATAAGGCCATGGCAGGCTCACTTTGCAGCTTTGCCAACTGCCGGCCAGAAAAAAAATTCTCAGGCCTAGTGAGGCCCCTAGCCCCTTGCTGCAGGCTTCCTTTCCCCGTTATTCAGACCCCGCCCATGCCCATTTCTGCCTGGCACAAGTCGGAACCATGCTGCCGTCGCTTGTCTGACTCGCTTGAACCCGTCAAGAGTCAAGACAACGCAAGCAGCCCCAGAGCTACTCGATGTACGCCTCCTGTGGTCCCTCCCGTCGACAGGTCGCTTGCTCCAGAGCGCAATGACTGTGGACCCCCCTTGCCCCCCATGGCCCGTGGCGCCAAGCAGGCTTCTTTCCCTTACAGAAAGCCTCTAGGTATTAGGTTGAGCTCTGTGGCTATCTTGAGCAGAGGGACCCCCGTCGGCCGACCTGAAAGCCTTGCTCTTCGTTAGCCGAAAGAGGCACCCCGATCCTAAGGGCCCAGTGCAGACGGACGCAAACCAGACCGTGAACCAGAACGTGACGGAACTGGTGCAACAGTGGACAGGCCCGACAAAAGTCAACTCTGCCATCCTCGTCCTGGCTCCCTCCCGGAACACAAGCCTTTGGAAAGAGATGGACTTCTGCTTGCAAGATTTCTGACAGCCGCCGCCAACTCTCGAGGCTTGGGATCGTGCCTCTGTCTACTCTCCCCAGTATTACGACGAACTACCCTCCACCCACCCACCCACTCACCCACATCCACACCCAACTCTCTCCTCTCCTCAGCCTCTGCTCCACGAACCTATGCCCAATTCTATCTCAATCCTCTCTGCCCCTCTCCTTGCTAATTGGCTGCTTGCATGGCGTCGTCCGATTGGCAATCGCATATACATCTTCGTCTGGACCACTCTGGGGAACTCGGTTTCCTCTTCCTCTCCCTAGACTCTTTCATTTGTACCCAGCCCGCCAGGCCCGCTCATCCGCTTAGCCCCTGCCGTTATCCACGCCTCGCAACCAGACGGTTGAGAAGCAAAAGCAAGCAAACAATCTCAATAGGCCCGATCGACTCGGGTTGCTGGACCGTCGCCCCTCTGTCTTGGTAGCCCCGTCCATCCAAGCCTACTTGCCTCAAGATATCGCTCCTTGAGAAATAGCTCAAAATCCTTCATTTGTTGGAGCCCCTTCCTTCATCTATCCTCCGCCCAGCACATATTGTTCAATTTTCAACATTTGTCCCCGGGAATTACAGCTACTTGATGGTTGTCTAGAGCCAGGAGCTCGTCCTCAACCATCTCGACTGGCCGGCCTCGTCTCTGTTTCGTCGCTTTTTGTGGTGGTTTCGTTGTCATTGCTATTGTGGTGTATACAGCGGGGCGACAGATACATTCGACCCTTATACGAACCAAAACCCCTTCGATCCACAGCTTTCCATTCGGGCTCAAGACGTACGGCACCCATTCCGCTTAGGCCATCATCCGGGACGATACCGACCAGGCAAGCGAAGAAAAGGTTAGTGATGATTCCATTTCTCCCTCCACGACTGGTCGTTCGCCCGCGATATCTGCGCTGATGCGCATGTCGTCCTCTTTGACGCTTCCGGATGTCGAGGAAATGACGATCCGCCGCTGTGAGCGGCTGGCGGTGGGGAAGACCCCAGAAGTTTTAGCTTGGAGATCCCCCATGGATGCAAGGCGACTGGGTTTGGCTCTAACTTAGCCGCACCGCAAACGCTTTGCCCGCCGAAGTCTAGCCGCCATCTTGGGTTGTCGGGAAGGGGGGCAACTAGCTACCCACCGCTTGCACTCTGTTGCTCCCACGCCTTCCCCTCTGCAAGCAAGCACACCGCTCCAAGATCATGCGATTAGGCTCTTGCTGCCCTCATCAGGCTGCAATCTAGTCTTGCAGGGAGCACGGAGTACATACACATGAGGTCCTAGTCCCCGGCTCGGATCACAGTCGCTAACAGTTATGCCCTTCCCCTTAGAGTTGACTTTGCTGAGACTGCTCCTCGGATGTCGAGCACTCTTTCTCCACTCTCCACAACTCAGGCATCGTGCAATGTGGATTGAACTTTCACATTGAACATGACAACTGAACTGAGCTTCAAATCCTCTCCTCAGTCTCCTTCCGAAGCCCTCTCCACTACACCTCAGGAGGATGCGAAAATAGTGGTCGCAGCAGTGTCCAGTCTGACCAAAGAAGCTAAGCAACAGTACCTAATAGTGAGCCATGCATCAGAAATCAACCGAAAGAACAATCCTAATTAACATCTCTTGCAGAATGAGATTAAAAAGCTGGTTGAAGATTGTGAGGATTTCATCGGCCTGGTTCCCGGTCCGCATGGTGTTCCTGAAGTTGTCGTTTCCCCGAATCTCAAGAAGGATAGGTGGGCGATCATCGGAGAATCTCATGGGACCTTCGCTCAATACCTGTCTATGCGCAGCCCCAGCGCTCCTGGTAAGTGATCGTCATCAAATCTGAATGCAGTATTGATTCCTGCAGGCCATTGTTGCGGCGCCAACCATCAGAGTGCGAAAACCTCAAAGCAAGAGCCCGCAATAGACCCAGGAACGCCAGGTGGCGCAATTACTTGGTCCGCGCAACGTCCTTTGAAGCGACACAGATCCAAAACCAACCTCTGCTCTCGGAATTCATCAAGATCCAGGTCTCAGCAGGGTGGTGGTGGTGGAACTAGGCTCTGGGAGACTCCCGCATCTCAAATCCGGGTGGACGACCATGCAAAGCTAGCCCAGTGGTATAAGGAGGCCTTTTTGATACTGCAGCAGGTGGCCTGTCGCCTGGTGGCCAAAGTCTGGATCAAAAGAATTCATCCTAAAAAGGTTAGATGCTTTACCCCCAAGACATGCGTCCACAAAAATAACTGAGGATTGAAGCAATCGACGCATCCTTACAATGGCCAAATGCCCCGTGGTGAACCTCCCGATCCGGATCGGACTAGGCCACCTTATTGGCCTGCTGGTACGGTACCCTTCTCTTCCTGGAAACATACCATGTTGTATGTGTGTGTATTATCCAGGGGTCTAATGTCTGTTGTTTTCTGCCAGACGTCATTCATCGAGAACCCGATCATATTGGCCGCGACGGTAAGCTTCGTGAATGGATCTAGAAGATTCTGTGCCCTGACAATGCACAGACAGGACCCGGCTCCTCGTCCATTTGATCACGAACACCCCCCAGCCAGTCATTACGAACCCTCTGTCGGATGGAGCGAACCGGCAATTTGTGAGGGCCCGAGACCTATTAGAATCTCTTCAGACTAAGAGAAGTGAGTTGCGGGAGGACCGTTGGGATATTATCCAACAGATTGTAAATGCAAGAGAGAAGCAAGAGCAGTACGAGGCCAATGAAATAGGTGAGCCCCCACGAGGCGTGTTGAGGTGTAACCGCACCACTGACATTGCCAGATGGTGATACGCTGATCTTTGTTTGTGATTACGGTGATATCACAAGTTCAAAACTGTCGGCGATCGACTCTGATGATGAAGGGCTTCGACGGGCCAGCTCTGCACTTGAGGCATCTAGCGACGGCTCTGGAGAAGCAGGTGAAGACCATGAACCAACGTCAGGCTCGTCCACACAAACATCTCCCACCGATCAGCTTGTCCCGGAGGGACGCATCATAATCAACAAACCCCGGAGCTCCGGCGCCAAGGAAACCAGTAGCCGTCGTTATGCGCCCCGTCGACCTCGACAGAGCTTCAATACGGGTCGAATGGTATCGGTGATTGCGCCACGGACAGGACAGGACTTTTCGCCTGGGGTGAAAATGGGCATGGAGAATGGGACGACGCATCCCGATGCCGTCATGGTACCACTAGTTGGAATCCACCAGGTACCAGCCAATGTGTTCGGTCGCAATCTCGACAATCATGCTGGGAGCAACGCCATGATGCATGCCGCTGTGCAGAGCGGTCATCTCACTGCAAACCTGCACACTTCAGCCTGGTCAGGAATGTTGCCAGACATGGGGCCTGATCCACCTCCTGAGATGTTTGGTATTCCCTCCAATATGGCGCCGCAACCGGCCGGCTTGAGACATGCGTATTTCGGTCAGGAGACGCTCGAAATGGCCAATGGTATCCAAAGCGGACTGCCTCCGACCGTGGTAAGCCCCATGCTTTACCAGGACTTTGGGGACAGCATCCGACGTTCTCTCCCGCTGCGAGTCGCGGACGCACAACAAAGCGTAATGATGCCAACAGCAGATATCAGCATGGAGATGATGGCTGATCGTTGCTACAAGCTCGATCATTGGTGATGTCCATGAAGGTCCAAGCTCCCGAATCTGGTTATCGAGTCGTATACTCTCAAAAGGCGCTGGAACGGCAGATGGCGAATAGCATTCTCGCCGCTCCTATCTCACGAACCCCAATTATGGCCTTCTCTGTCGAAGATACCCTTAACCACGGCCCTCGGCACATTGCCGCACGAATTTCCTTCGAGTCTTTTCACGTTTTATCTCCTGACGGTTGTCTTTGATTTTCGGTCCGCGTTTCTTATCCGGTTGCATTATTCGGCTGCATTTTCTGCATTGTTTTCCAACAGGGGGAATGAAGCATGGCAGCTATGGATTTGGAGCAGGGCACAGCAAAAGTTTGGGATGAGGTAATGGGACGGGTCGTCAAACGGCGCCTCGGCCATGCCAGGTGGGAAGACAGTGACCATTCATATCCGTCACAGCAGGATTGTCCAGGCGAACATGACAAGCGGTCTTTTTGTGGGCAGTGTTTGTATGGTTGGGTTTTCGGTTTGTTTCGGATGCGAATGTTTTGTGGATTTGATGTGCGTTGACTCTCATTTTGGTTGAGCCCATCGATGTGCGGCGTTGTCATAATGAAGGTGAGCATTTGCTTGGGACTGTCTCGGGTCAGTGTAGATGAGATACGAGTCAAGATATTGGGCATCTAACCATGTCAAATGAATGCATATAATACTTCTGGAGACTAAATGTGGTGTAGCTTGGGTGGCATGTAGGTCGTTGTCGATATTGAGTGTGGCAGGTGCCTGATCCGTCTGGGGCATGCAGCCAGGGTCGCTAGGGGCACCGGGGCACCTAAAGGGGCCTCGCTAGGCATCTATTGGAGGTGAATTCTGCGAACGAGGCGCCCGCAGAGGCCAGCCAATAGGCGGGGCTTCCCTTCAAAGGCGGCTTGGATTCCACTTCTTTGTGCTCTAGCTGGTTCGTGACATTCGCTTTTCTCTCCCACGCGACAGCGACAGCGACAGCGACAGCGACGACAACTAAAGCACCGGCTTTCTTGCGATTCCCATCACTCACGCCTTACGAATTTCTTGTCCCTATTCAAAACTCTCCATCGACCATTTTCCCCTCGACTCAGAGCCAGAGCCAGCTTAAGTCTGGTCCTCGCGTCCCTCCTCGATCTCTTCGATAGTCTCTCGTGTTGGCATGACACTCCTCCGATGTTGATCGATCATTCTTGCGCCCATGTCTGCGCCGGCGTCCATCCGCGGCCAACGCGGTGGCAGCTCGACCAGAGGTGGACGAGGGACTTCGTCTCAAGCGACCCGAGATCGCGGTAGCACTCGCGGATCCACCGCTTTGAGAGGACGAGGCAGAGGCGCAGGTGCGAATGCGCGTGCTTCGAGTCCCGGTAGTGAAGGGTTGCTGCAGCGACTACGTGCGGGAACTGTCAAAAGAGCAGAAGACAATGGATCATCTGGGCCGGGAAGAGGTGAGCGTGATAAAACCACTGGGCATGCGGTAAATGGAGGGAATGCTCACCTGCCCCAGGACGTGGTGCTGGTACTGGAAATGCGGCGACCTTTACGCCCGGTTCACGAGGACGTGGCCGCGGATTTGCGAAATTGTCGAAGACATTCAACACTCCCAGCTCTCAAACGCCAACGCCCAGCCCTCGAGCAGCTTCTCCAGCACCCGCCACGCATCGAGACTTTATGAACTTGGCCTACGACAAATTCCAAGCGGTGCGTCACTACCTGGTCCATGTATTGCTGACCATGACCACGTCTATAGGTGTCTGACATACGAGATCTTCATATAGCTAAAACAAAGTCGGGAAGAGGAAAGAGCGAAGGCGATTCGTGACGGGTTCCTCGCCGATCCGGAGAAGAAGACCAGCCTGGATAAAGCCATCACCCCTGTCGGAACCTGCACGGAGATGTGCCCAGAGTTCGAAAGAGTGGAACGCATCGTTCAGAACATGGTTGACAAGGCAGAGAAGGTGAATATTTTGTTTGTTCATTGGCGGGTCACTGAGCTGAAGGTCTGGGTAGGTACGCAACGAAGAAACCGGCAAGGACATGCCCGCAGAAGATCGCATGGTCAAACGATTCCGTCGCTCTGCTGCTGGATACGACGAACAGCTCCCTTCAGATATCCGAACCCCCGCGACTCTAAAACGGACTCTGGACTACCTCGTCGACAAGGTAATTGGTGGTGGTGAACGATTGGCAACTGTCCACAAGTTTGTCTGGGATCGCACGCGAGGAATCCGCAACGACTTCTCAATCCAACAAGTCACCAATGTCCAGGACGTTAAGCTTGCTGTCGACTGTTTCGAACGCATAGCTAGATTCCATATCCTGTCATTGCACCAGCTGTCAAACCCGGACAATCTCCAAGAGGGAGAGAACTTTGACACCTACCAAGAGAGAGAACAGCTCAATAATACCCTCTTATCTCTCGTCTACTATTACGACGACCATCGAGGGCGCATCGACTTCCCCAATGAAGGAGAGTTTCGCGCTTATCTCGTGATTTTTGAAATCCAGGCCCCTGAAAGACCGGACTTGGAAGACCGCATGCAATCATGGCCCAGGAGTCTCCTCAGAGACAAGAAAGTTCAGACGGCACTTAGGCTGTACAGAGCTGCAGGTAACTCCCTTCTCGGCCAAGGGCCTCTTCAGCCATGGGAGCCCTTTGCGATTGCCCAAGGCAAAACAGGAAGCTTTTGGAATATCTTGGCCTCAGATTCGGTGCCCTACATCATGGCATGCCTCGCTGAGATATATTTTGCCGAGGTCCGTTTTGCGACTCTGGATGCGTTGTGGCGATCGTGCAAGAAAGGCCCTCTGGCTCAACAAGCAAAGTCTAGAGATTGGACACTGGGCGAAGTGACAAACTTTCTTGGATTCGACTCCGACGACGAGACCAAAGACTTCTGCGCCGCTTTCGATCTCTACTTCGCCACAGACGATAGTGGTGAGGAGTATCTGGATGCTACAGCGAACAGTGCCCAGTCCCTCGATCGTGCGTTCTCCCATCTTCCAACCATCCCTCATCGTCAAGTACTGATGTCTGTGTAGCGTCCTCGATACCGCGACGCCAGGTTTTTTCGCACCATTACGTGGAAATGAAGCGCTACCACCGAGCACTGAACGCCGTCATCAACGGGGCGACCGTCGCCGAAGCCATTCGTCAGGGCTGGGTTGAGCCTGACGATGAAGACACACGCCCTGTAGATGATATCAGGGAAGATGACCAGAACATATTCGTTCCGGAGACGAAACCGACATCCACCTCTGTGGCGCCCTCGCTCCCTGGACCTCAGCTCAATCCACAAGCTGCCCCTTTTGCACCAAAGTTCGGACAAAGCACTGCCTCGCTGAGCTTGACCAGGCCAACGGTGCCTGCTGGATTTAACTCTTCTCGTTCCCTCAACGCTGCTGCTTCTGTCAAGTCAAAAGAGGAGTCTCCATTTGGCAAGCCTTTGCAAACTGGTGGCTTCGGGTCCTTGGACGTGTCCAAATCGATCGATTCGACTGGAACCTTTGCAAAGTCGACTCTCCCTCCACAGCAGCAAGCTTCGACTTTCGGCTTTGGTGGATTCCCAGCATCAGCAACACCATCTACCTCAACTTTCGGACAGCCTGCGCCAGCACGGAAAGAAAGCAAACCCTCCAGCTTTAGCGGATTCACCCCCAAGGCTCAGGAAGCACCTTCTACTTCTCTAGGTCGCGAACTTTCCGGACCTGCAGCTACTGGATTCAGCTTCGGCAAACAGCCTTTTGCGCCTTCGACATCTACGACCTCGTCCGCGACTCCTTTTCCGCCCATCTCCGGCCAACCGCCTCCGCCACAACCTACATTTCCTCCTGCGCCGCAAGCGAGTCAAGGTAACGAGGATCCACTTTGTCTTGTCTTGCCAGACTCTAGGTCGTTGCTAATTCTTTGTTTCTGAATAGCAACAGCCCTAACCACAGCTCCAACGGCGACAGCCTTTCAAGAGGCACCCCTTGTGCAACCATATCCTGCTTCTCCAGCTCCGGTGCAGATGGCTGACGGCAACACTACACCATCGTTTCTTACAACGACCCAAAAACCTACGACTCAACCAGAGCCCGCCGAGGCGCCATCAGACTTGGAGCAGCATCCGCCATCCACCACATTTCCAGCAGTCTCTTCCATAGAACCGACTCCAGGCCCCTTCTTCAAGTCGACTACAACTCGCTCTTTCCAATCGAAATCAACGTCAACCGCTGAAACCCTTCCAAAGTCTGCTTTGGAAAAGTTCAATTTCACTACCGCGACATCATCCATCACGGCCCGTGGGAACCAGCACCCAAGCCAGCAAGTCAAAGAAACATTACTCAAGCCAAGCTCAGCCATTATACAGCCTCCCCAGCGTAGCACAACTCCTCCATATTCTCCTCGTCAGCCTCCGGCCAAACCAGTCTTCAGCCAAGCAGACCGAAACAAGCTTGCAGAACAGGTTGCCAGGATTGCACTGACGCAACAGAGGGGGCTGCTTAACAGCTACCTTGAATTCACCCTGCGTGACCTTGTGACAACCGCCTTCAATCAATATCGACTGGAAGCACGCGATGCAGCCATCGGTAAGGAAGTATGTTCTTTGTCTAGGGACACGTTTGCTGACCATGTTCTGCAGCATCTGTTCGTGAACGTATCCTTGCGCGAAAGTTTGGATATCTCTGGCGAACGCGCGCTTGGACTAGAAGCCTGAATCGACGGGCAAAAGCCAGACGCCAGCTCTTTGCAGAAACAATCAGAGCCGAACAAGCAAGAAAGCAAAGAACGGAGGAGGAGCTGGAGGAGATCCTAAGGGCAACTCAGGAAACGAAACGTCTTCAAAAAGAGGTCCAAGAGGCTGGTAAGGCGGGAAAATCCTCGTCTGCCGGACAAAACACCACCGAAGTCGCCAAAGTTGCTGGACGAAAGCGCAAAAGCTTCTCTGGTGCGCATATTAGAGCGAACGGGACACCCCTGACTCCTGAACACAAGAGGTCCAAAACGATGAGTATTTCCCCAGAACCTTCGACTTCTACAACGAGTCAGAGACAGGAGGTCTCTGGCTTCAGTGCATCCACCTCGAGGCCGCGTCAACACGTCTCCATCTTTTCGCGCACTTCAACACTCGGTCAATCAGCATCTGAGAAACTCGACACCACACGTACAGATTATTTTAGGCTCAAGGCTATGGGCGTCGACCCTGAGACGCCGATCATTCCTGATACTAAGCAATCGCTGGCAATTCGACGACAAAAAGAAGCAGAAGAGAGACAAGCAAGTCTGAAAAGAGCAAACCGCCGCATCAGAACTTCTCTCGCGTCTGAGCAAAGCTCCCCAGCACCAATGCCACCGCCTTCGATTTCTGATTCTCGGCCGCTGGATGCCAAACCATTGGCGAAGATTCCTGCTCCTCTAGTCGAAGATGACTTCCTCAAACAGATCAGACAAGCGCGTGAAGCAATGGAAGAACAGATCGAATGGTTCAAACTGCAATCTGTGTCACTGGAAAAGGAGATCGAGCAAGAAGAAGAGTTCCGAAGAAGTCAAAGCGGTCGTGATCACGGGAGTCCTAGCTCGGCAAGCGGCATGCTACGAGTCAACGGTTATGAGTACCGCCCTGGGGAGAACAAGCTAGGGTCAACTCTGTCGCGCACCGAGAGACGCATCCGAGAGACTGGTGCCCACGGATTTGCCACGAAACCTCTGTGGTCGGGCTCGCAATATGTGCCTGTTGCGATGTCAAAGAGAAGTGCACGGAATTACAACAATGGGTCCAACATTTCGAGCCCAGGGAGAAAACGAACACATGATGACGCAGAGCTCGTGTCTAACGTAAAACTAACGACGCGGAATTCTAGTGCTCTGCCCGCTTCCAAACGCCCTCGAGCTGCACCATCCAAGATCACAGACCCAAAGATCAGACGTCCGAAGCCCAAACATATCGCCAGTGCTCAAGGCAGCAATTCTTTCAACTTGCTTCAGTCACCGCCGCCTAACGACCAAGGCGTATCAGGTGACGATATCGAAGGGGACGACCATGATCCGGACGAGTTGTACGATGAAGAGGAGGGTCCATCTGGACACGCTCCTTCTGGACTCGCTTCTTCGCAATATGCGCTCAATGGCGCGTACGCAGACGATGAAGCTGAAGAGGAGTTGGAGGAAGATGCAGAAGAAAACGAATACCATTTCGGAGGAAGATTTGAAGACGAAGAGCGCGAAGACGACGACGATGACGAAGAAGCAGAAGAAGAAGAAGAGGAGGAGGAGGAGGAGGAGGAGGAACAAGAACAAGAACAAGAACAAGAAGCAGAAAGAGAGGAGATGGGCAACAATAACGACGGTGCAGACGACGAAGACACAGAATATAGTTACCCAACCTATCTCCAAGCGCGCCAGGACGAGTTTGACGACGCTGAGACACCCATGACGAATCCACAGCTCAGCCGCGCCGCCAGTAGTGCCCCTGGCGGCAGCGTAGACGACGCGCTGGTCCTGAGCGATAGTGACTGACGGATTGAGTTGAGTTGGATCCGAATCATTCTTGACACAGAACATTCAAGAGCGAGAACGATCTATCAATCGATCAATCGACGTGTGTCCGCGGACCATAACTACCTAACTACCATTTTCGCGACCCAACTCTGCATATCCAGGGTGGTTGGTTGGTTGGTCGGTGTTCGAAGACAATCCGAGGAAGGGGATATCAGGTCACAAATGCAGCATGGTGCATTCACTAAGTACCACCAAGCGGAAGGCAGAACTTGTCAACAGCATCCGCAACAAGACCAAATACCCTGCCCATGTATGTAGGGAGTCAGATAGTCAGATTGACAATGAGGAGCTGGTTTGGTTTGCATCTTGGGGGGAATATCCGCCGAGGAAGGACGCCGATTGATGTTCTATCCTCCGCTAGCTTTACTACTAACTGTGTAACTATCAGTATGATATAAAACAGCTTATTATACGACCCTTGCATTCTCTCTGTTCTTCTTCCTCCTACGAGTATGTACCGAGTCTCGGCCAAGCAGGAACTAGTCGATACGTTTCCTTTTTTTCCCCTCTCTTCGTTCTTTCGTTCACAAAGTGTGAAGACCAAAATGCCCCCTAGACTCATTGTCGCATCCTGCCTGCCTGCCTTCCTCCTTGCCCCTTTACCACTTGCTCGCAGTCAAATCATATCTCATCTCGTCCGCATACGCGGAGCATTTTCTTTTTTGTTTTTCCTTTGGTTTACCCTGTTGTTTTTCGCCGTCGAGCGTATATGTATAGAGATGGACAGATAGACATGTACGGCTCGCTAGGCCACTCGCCTACTTCCTTACTCACTCAGCGCACCAAAACAGAAAGCAAAACGAAAAGACAATTGGTCGTTTCATTCGTTCATAGCTTCGCCTTGAATTTAGCGGCACCCAGTTCATTGCGGTCTAGACCCATTGATCGGAAGATCTCCTCGGTCTTGGCCTGTTGCCGCGCGATGCGGGCTCGGATCTCGTCTTTGCGCGTCTTGTTCTCACGGCGGCCGAGTTGACTCAGGTGAGCTAGGAGGGCAGGAGTGTTAGTGTAAACGAGCAGAGCGACACGAAGCGAGGGGTTGGACAAAAGAATACGAGGGGAAGGAGGCGATTGAGCACGGAAGACGAAAGAAACTTACCCTCATCTGGTCCGTCTGCAATCCTCAACGTCCTCAAGTGAGCCCACATGTGAGCCAGCGGCGTGTCCTGGCAAACACCCATGGCGCCATGCACCTGGATTGCCCGATCAATGACCTCAAGCGCCACCTGTGGCACCTTGACCTTTGCCTCGGCGATCTCCTTCAGTGCGAACTTGGCGTCCTTTTGATCGATCTTGACGGCAGCGTTCAGCACGACCAGTCTCGAGGCGTCAATCTCGATCCTTGCTTTGGCGACCCACTCCAACAGCACGCCGTGCTCGGAGAGCTGTTTTCCGAAGGGGATCTTCCTCTCATCGTTGAGCCGGTTGATTAGCCACTCGAGGGCCTTTTCGGCGGCGCCCACGGCTCTCATGGCGTGGTGGATTCGTCCCGGTCCCAGGCGGCCTTGCATGATCTCGTTGCCTCTGCCCTCACCCAGAATGAGCGCGTCAAGGGGCACCTTCACGTTGTCGAATGTGATATGACCATGGCCGTGAGGGGCGTCATCGTACCCAAACACCGACAGCATACGGTGAACTTTGATTCCCGGGGTGTCGGATGGCACCAGCAGCATGCTCTGTTGTCGGTACTTGTCTGGATTGTAGGGGTCGGATTTGCCCATGACAATGAAGATCTTGCAGCGATCATCACCAGCGCCCGAGGACCACCACTTGGATCCGTTGAGGAGATAATGGTCACCCCTGCGCTCAATGCGGAGCTTGATGTTGCTGCCGTCCGAGGAGGCAATATCTGGTTCTGTCATGAGAAACCCAGAGCGGATCTCGCCTGCGAGGAGAGGCTTGAGCCATCTCTCCTTCTGGGCTGGGGAGCCATAGCGGGCGATGACTTCCATGTTCCCTGTATCGGGGGCAGCGCAGTTGCATGCCTAATTGAAGAACCCAACTCGTCAACAGGGAGGATCTCGACGAAGCCCCAAGGAGCAGAAAGCGAAACAGCAACAGGCCGTCGCGGAAAGTGTTTCCTTTACGGGGAGACAGGGAGAAAAACATACCTCGCTGGCTGTAATACTCTTGCCCAACTGCTCCGCCATAAGCCCATACTCGACATTGGTGAACTGGGGTCCGTCCTTGAAATGGTTCTTTGGCAGAAACATGTTCCAGATACCCAAGGCACGGGCTTTCTTCTTCAGGTCATCCATTATGGAGGGATGGCCATGCCAGCGGGCGTCACCCGTGCCGATTTGTGAGGAGTAGACGACGTCGGCGGGGATACATTCTTCATCGACGAATTTCTCGACCTGGGGAGTGATTAGAGGGTGCTTGACGGGGACCAGGATAGGGCAAGAGAAGATACCAAGTCCAACAGCTTCTTCGCCCGCTCCGACACAAAGGGCAGGGCAAGGGGCGGGATGTTCTCTGAGGCGGGCATCTTGAAGGTTTGGTGTCCTCGGTATGGGGTAAACGAAGCAGGAGGAATGACAGACGGTGAGGATCGAGGATGGCGGGAGGTAAGCGGCGGTCAAAGTGTAGTAGATGCTATTCCTAAACCCTCGGCTACTGAGAGGATTGAGAAGAGAGAGAGAGAAAATGCTCAATGGGCTGGCAATGTGGACGGCGCAGTTACTTGTAGCTTGGTTGTTCGGCTGTTGGGTCCGATCTGGGGGAATTGGAGTTGGAGACTACGGCTGGTGATGCCCTTGTGCCTCGGCCATGGCCTCCCAATGCATCCACAAGCCGAATGGCGAATGCCTGCCAACTACCTATACGGAACAAATACTCCGTCCCGGCGGCACCACGGCTGATTTCCACATCTGGATGCCCATGCTGGGGTAATAGCCGACTCAAGCGAGGTGCTTGTAGGAAGTGGAAAAGGGTTGAGAGGGTTGAAATTCTCCATTCTGGAAGACTCGGTCGACGCCAGTCTAGGATCGAAGTATCAGTCTAGCTACTTCTCTCGCTCGACAAGCACTCAGCTCCAGCTCCAGCTCTTTCATCCCACCGCCATCAAGCCAACAAAGAAGAAAGTCCCGCGTCAGGAGAATTGATGCAATTCAAAGAGCACGCACGCCATTCTCAACACCTCAAAGAGCCTTCTTCAAACCTGAAGAGTGAACCGTTTCTCCTTTCCCCCAACGACAACAACAACCACCACCGCCACAAAGCTTTTCGTCCCATATCCTATAATGCTGCTGTCCTTGTCGGATTTCGTCTTGTGAATCTCCACGGTAAAATAAACACTCAAAAACATACTCGTAGCCGCCGCGTTCCCCAATGCCATTGTCCGGGTATTTTGGTTTTCTGGTTGCTGTTGGTACACTCCATGACACCTCGTCGATAAACAAGCCCATGTTTGCAAAGTCATCAGTGTCAAGGTTCCAATCAAGACAAAAGCGAGGGTGGTGGGAGTATTTTTTTTTCCTTTTTCTCAAACGCGCGTCAATGTGGTCTTCACCTGACCATCCAAACAAAAACACAAGATTCTTCCCCGCTGGGTTCGTAACTCGCCCCGGTTCACACAAAGTTCGAATAAGCTGACAAGAAGTGATGCTCAAAGAATTACAAATGGAAGTTGTGCCAACCTCCAACCCACTCTAGTTCATCCTCGTCTGTCGAGGATGAATCCGTCACCCGCTGTTGCCGCCAATCTTGATCCAGGTACGCCGGACGCGCCTTGGGCCGGCTGTCACGGCGATGCCAGGGATGGGGATGTGGATGGGGACGGGGATTGGGATCATGTCCAAATCCGTTCGTAGGCTTCTTGCGTGATCCCATAGTCATAGATCGTTTCTTGAAAGTCCACGTCTGTGTCTCCGACTCAGCCTGGTAGTTCCGTCTCTTGTCGCCCAATGCTGCCCACTTGTCCACAGCAATCGTCTGTTTGGGCGAATGCCGAGGTGCTCGTGCGCGCCACGCAAATGGATCGTTCTCATTCACCCCGTGGCTCGTCTTGGTCGGCGACAAAGGTTTCGGCGTGCGGCTGCGACGTGCATTACTTGAGGACCGACTCTTGGACTCGGTGAGTACACCGGGAGGTACCGGGAGACGCTTTTGACTATCCTGACTCCAGCTTCGAGCGTTCTGCTCACGTCGCAACTTCAGCTCGGCCTCACGTTCCGACTCTTCCTCATCTTCCTCGAACATATCACTCCAACTCTTGGCCACCGTGTCGTCTTTCTTCTTTCCAAAGATTGTAGACATGGTAGGAATGGGTCGAGAGGCGCGGGATGGTAACGAGTTGGGGATGGGGACTGGGTCTGGCTGCGGTGGGTTGCGGGCAGCAGAACGCCTAAGGGTTAAGGACTTGAAGGAACCATATGCTGAGTCAAATATAGATGTCAGGGAAGGCGTAGTCCCATGGCCAGAGCTATACCAGGACTCCCCGAGCTTGAGGCTCTTGTCCGACTCGAAAAGGTCCTCCTCGTACAAGTCGGGGATAGAGTCCAATTGTTGCTTTGGTAAAGGACTAGCATGCAATGCCTTGGCCCAAGGGAACGAATCTCCATCCATCTGAGGACTTTGAATAGACGGGGTCCGCAGAGGCTCGCGATTGGCACTGGCCCGAACAACATTACGTTCCTCGGAACAGAAAAAGTCGTCAAAGGACTCGTCCTCGGTGGTGAAGGCAATGGCACGGAGAACGGCTTGTTTTACAGCTCCTAAGTCCCGTTTCGCAGGGTCCAAAGCCATGGCCACAGACAGGATCTCAAAAGTATCCTGCGACATGCTGGGGAAGATGTCGAACAGAGACTGCCGGTCTCGACGATAGTCGGCAAAGAGGACATCCGATTCCGTTGGCGTAACAAAGGGGTTTCTAGCAAAAAGAACATTGAGCAGGCAGATGCCGATGGACCATATATCTGCCTTTGCTGGCGAGTAACCCGTGCCGGCAGGATCGTATTGCTCCGGGGCCATGTATCGGTCGCTTCCGACGCAAGACTCGTAAGACCAAAGGCTCTTGGTGGCCAGGCCGAAGTCCCCAAGTTTCACAGATCCATCGTGAGTCAGGAAGATGTTCTCGGGCTTGATGTCCCGGTGATAGAGGCCGTTGGCATGCATGTGCTGCACAGCACTGATCAACTGGAGCATGAAACGTCGGACGTTCTCGGTCTCAGCGGGTCCTCGATTGAGGCGGATCGCTTCGTACAGGTCGCCCTGAGAACAGTATTCGAGAACCAGGTAGGTGTGAGCGTCGGTCTCAAAGTGGTGAACCAGGTTCACCAGATGATCGTGGTGCTTCAGAATTGCGTGGCACGCGAGCTCTTCTGTGCCTTCGTCCGTGGTTGGTGCCTGTGTGGACTTGTTTGCAACAGAAGGCTTAGTCAAACACTTGATGGCCACATTTTGCCCAGTCAGAGTGTCCTGGGCCAGGAAGACCATGCCAAAAGACCCATGATTGAGGGGAGCAATGGTTCTGAAGCGACCATCCAAGAGCTGATCCTTGTGGAACTCATCTTTCATGCATTCCATTGTTGTGGTGATGTCAGACACGGTGCGAGCCGATATATCTCTGGTGCTTCGAGCAGCAATCTATCCTTTTTGGAATGTAGCGACAAGAACTTTTGTTGACTGAACAGAGACGAGCAATATGATCCAGGACGGCTTTGTACAAAAGTATAGACAGGAATGGGATTGGAATGCAGGCGCAGTGTGAGAGTGGATACACTCAGGAGACAACGTCGAGTATAGGAACTGGAATCCGGATACCAAGCATAGATCCGCCTTGTAGCTTCAATTCTTCAACCTCCCCACTTATCATATGTAGAAAACGCCTAGTTGAGAAGGACACCGCGGAACTCCTTGTCGTTCGTGTAAAGGTCAGAGGCTCATAGACGGTGGTATAGGTCGTAACGTAAAACAAAAGGAAAAGCTGATCGCTGACGCAGAGCCTGTCGGGCCCGTTGTGCAGTCGAACGAGCAGAGGCGTAAAGAGCGTCTGTTTATTGTGTCATGGTCGAAGGGATGGTGGGACTGGTTCCGGCAGAAAAGCCAAAGAATGCGAGTGAAAAACTCGACGAGGAGAAACTGAGGATAGTCGAAGAAATAGTAGAGATTCGTAAGGGAGAGGTAGAGAGGTGAATTAGGTGGAGCTGTTCCGAGGCGGTTGAGGGTGTACTTGTAGCTGTGTCACAACTTGTCGAGCTCAAGGTGCTTTTCGACAGGCAGCCACAGGGTGTTTTGCCGCGGAAGACGCTGATGACTTGTCGAGAAGGAGAATGAACTCGGGATGGTGCAATCTTGACTCTCAAAGCAAAGAGGTCGTCTCCCTTTGTCTGAAGTTTATTGTGGTGTGGACTGAGCGTGACTTTGACTTGACTTTGACCCAGTTGACACTCGCAACAATGATTCACCAACTAGGCCGATTCCGAAAGGCAGGCGAGACTCGCCAGATTCGACGCTTCAAATAGCCCTTGTAATATCCCAGGCAGATCGAGTAACAGCTCAATGGTATAACAGGATTATAGGTACAGTTGTGATGGAGGTTCGAGCTTCAATGCCGGGCGTGGTGGGGAGTAGAGGTTCAGCGGGGTGCAAGGTCGCTGGGCGACAGCGAGGAATGCCGGGGCGCAGAAAGAACGTCGTCGAGACGAGAGAGAGGGAAAGAGAGACACGGCCAGGTGTTGAGTTGTGGGTGACAGGGAAAGAAGAACGAACACTCGTGAGGGCTTTTGATTTCACATTGCAGGGCGGTCGAATCCGGGTCGAGTACGAGGTAGTAGGGGACGAAGGTAAACAGTGAGACGGAAGAAGGTGGTTATGAAGCAGAAGGTGGTCGAGTTGGCGGTGACGGGTGGCTCTCTTACAGCTTGGCCTGCGCTGGTCCCTCTGTCCCTGGGAATGGCGATGGTTCAATCCTGGGGCCAGCCGAACAGTGGGCACACCACTCTCATGGAGCGCCCTCACTGCCTAACTTTGAAAGGCGGGCGAGGGCTACAGGCTACGGGCTACGCTGTGCAATGGTACGGGCGACGGCAAAAACTTGCTGGCGCTGCTGCTTGCCCCAACAAATGACGCTGGGAACCACCCACTGGGCGAGCGAAGTCCATGGAACCGGCCGGTAACTGCAGGGCCAGCCAGCAACGAATCACGCCCAGCTGGGTGGAGAGACTTGGTTTGTGCCTGCGCCCGCGATGGAGCCCGCCGGTTGGAAGGCAGCTGCAGCTACTAGACCACTTTGGCTCTGGCAGCCTGTGTTTGAGCAGTACCTCGCAATTTCCTGGTAGCGCGTGACCCATTTTTCTTCTGGCCCTCGCAGCCCTCGCTATTGTCCTCGTGCTCATCTCTACGCAGGAGGGGCTTTGACGGCTTTGGCTCTGACGAGCAAATGCCGCCACCCACCACTCTTTTTTTGTCTCACACCTCCAAGCCCTCCAGACCCAGCGGTGGTTGCAGGACCCAGACCCTTCATGGCTTGCTCACAGCGAGATCAGGTGCAGGCCAGACAAACCCTCCTTTTTAAACCACCCTCCATACCCGCTTTCGGCTCTTCGCTTTGTCTCCCTCCAACCAATAGTCACGCCACAGCCATCATGAGCCTTGTCGAAAAATGACGCCGCCGCCCGGCAGCGAACACGCAACCACCACGGTGGATGATGACCACAAGGCCACAGGGAAAAGAAGAGGACACTTTGCAAAGAACAATTACCCATTTACGACCTTCGGGCCCAGAGGGAGCACGAGGTCCCGAAGGCTTCCATCCCCTTTCATGAAATGCACTTTTCCTCTCATAACTTTCTCTGGTGACCCTGTTCTGGATTGCCATATCCGGTACCACACTGCTCCCGAGGCCCGTGGGCATCTCCTTTGTGATAGGGTGGTCCGACAACACCCTCACGCAACTCATTCCAAACCGTCCCTCCGATTTTCAGGAGCCCTGCATTGAGTTCAATTGCTGACCAGGTTGAGAACAGCTTATAATTGGCCTGGAGGTTGAAAGGGAAGAGGAGGAAAATCTCTCATTTGGTCCTGATGGTTGTTGCTCGATGCCGTTCTGGCTGAGTCAACCTTACGAGTCCCCCCCGGCATATCCCATCCAAAGTCAACTGGGGCTTTGGATAGTGGCACGGCAAAGTCCTCCAGGGAAGCTTACCCCGCAAAGCCTGAACTCCTGGGTGTACGAATTTGTCGCCGGTCCTTAACCACGATTTCTGAGACAAAGACAACGAAAACGTATTCCGCGACTCGTCACCACAGTGCATGTAATCGTGCTGCGTGATTCTTTTCATCGTACTCCCTACAGAGGAGAACTGATCAAGAGGCGCTCCGTACATACTTGTTACAAACTCGGCAGCCAGGCTCGGCGAGCTGAGGTCATGTGATGGAAACGGTTCGCATCGCAACGGGCAGCCCCAAGAAGGATTCAGGGCAAGGAGGTTCCTCTCGACGATCCAACTGTGCTTCGATCAAGTTCCAAGGATTTCTACCAACTACAAACACAAGTGTCGAGTGCTCTGACCAGCATTCCTGTCCTGGAATAGGAGCTGTCAAAAACCTGTCAAAGCCGGTGGCATGTTTATCTGATCGGCATTCTTGCTCCAAGCGACATTAGGCTTACGAAACATAGATCCAATGGTGTATCAGCAAAAACAGGGGATGACCACGTGAAATGATAAGCAACGATTGGCAGCTGCTGGGTCAGACGTTCATCTCGGATAATCCCAGGCCACCGAAGCACTGACACTCGAGGTTTCGGCCATGACATTGAGACGAGGTGTTGATGTTTCAGCCAGATATCTTGCTGCTGTTCAAGGCATCCATAAGGGCCAGGGGCCCAGTCCTCCAAAAAAGCAGCGAGCATCCATCAAATGCAGTGTCAACCGACCGTGCTGTAAATTACACACGCCAGCATGTCGTCGTATCTTGATCAGTGACCAACAAAAGACAGATCAAACTGCTATTCGATGTTGACCATTTTGCCAAAAAGTCGGTGAAAAAGCAGTGCAATTTCAATCTTCTTCAATGGGCTCTTTCAGTGGCAGTCTGGAGCTGTTACCGTGCTTGTCTTCGGGCAGTCTAATGCAGCCAGCGGGCACTTGGGATGCAGAAGCCTGCATAAGCTCAGCAAGAGGGTTTCTCCATCCTCCCTCCGCTTCGATTTTGGGCTGGGCGTCTGCCGATGAAAGGCTCCAGGCCATTTAGATGCTGGCGCCTCGGAAAAAGGGCCAAGTCATCCACAGTTGATTGGCACCAGCGGAGAATTGATGTCGCCACCCACTTGTAAAGGGCCACGAACATCCAGTCATTGACCGCGCTACAAGAATGCCATGGCTGATGCCAATGGCGTTGTGGTAGTCGTCGCCCTGCAACTCGACCCAACCGCCAAACCTTTGAAGCTTCCATCATTGGTCTGTCGAACTATTGATCGCTCTGCATTGGCCAGCGTCGGGCCGAAGCAACGCTGGCAGTTCTGGAGACTGGAGCCCCTCCCCGACGGCATCACTCCACCAGGCGTCGATCTCGACTCGAAGCCTTTGGCTGCCATCTTCACGTTGAAATCAGATCCACAGAGTACAGCGTCTGCTCTAACAGCCATCATTACTGCCGTGGCATCCCAAGAAGCATTCGGGTACACAAGACGGAGTACTTCGTACGGAGTAAGGATTGACACGTTTTGGAGCAGGGCGCCCCCATTTTGCTGGAATGAGCAGCATCTCGAATTCTCCGGCTCTTTGACGCCCACCATACTCCAGGTTGCGACAGGCCTGGACGTTTGAACCCTCTTGCCTGGTACGTACTTGTTGTCCGAACAAGATTCCTCCAATGCAAATGTTTGGCTCTACGGGGTACATACATCATGATTGCTACGTAAGTGCAGCTCAAAGTTGGATAGCACGACAAACGAGTTAGCAGTTTTGCTACGCTCCTTGGCAACCACAACGATTCCACGTCGTCAATGCTCCCACACCTTCCGCCTAGCCTTCGTGCCACCGCATTGCATTGACCATCGCTATGTGCAGAAGGCCCAACCTAGAAGCAATTCCACTCAGATCTTTCTCCGGTAGGTTTTCGAGATCTTCAAAACCCTTAGTCCAAAATTCGGGGGATTTAGTCTGGTGAGGCTCTAAGCGAACCCACCCGGCGGCTGTTCCCACACACCATCCGCATTGCAACGCATTCTTTCCACGGATGGCGGTATATACACCGCCATGTTGCAATTTCTTCCACTTTCAAGATTCGCTGGTACTCTTCCTTTGTCCCTGTCCAAAATCTGAAGGGGTTGCGTTGGTGCTGCAGGCTGCATGAACGATACTAAGGTGGCTGGAAGACGCAGATCTCGATTGCCTTTGCCTGCGAGTTGCTACGCTTATTGGAGGATCGCACTGACCGCAATCGCACATTCGAAAATTCAACAAAAAAAAATTTCTTTTTCTTCTTTTCGACATAGTCAGCACATGCCGCGACGTGACGAGGGTGTGTTGATCTTTTACTTGTTTGGTCCATGATGTTTCCCCTGCTCCGTCTTCAAGTTCGCATTGTGCCCGAAGACGGATTTCTCAGAGGACGGACCTTCGAGTCGGTAAGCGCTTTTTCCGGTGAGAGATACCAGGAGTGTCACTCATCTCCATTCATGGGATGCGAGCCCATGTGGCTCTTGTGCTCCCTGCTTGATTCTGTCTTCATGTTGCATAGGAGGAATTCCGGAAGCCCTCTACCGTCCACAGATGTGGTCAATGAGAAGAGTTAGGTACGAGCTGATCAAATGCAAGGAAAACAATTTGACTACATCTCACTTTCTTTCGCCTTGCCTGTTCAATCGTCCTCTCGATTATAGTCTGGCTAGGGGAAGAACTTCACCTTTTTCAAGTGCTCACTATTCCTCAAGATGGAGCAAGAACAGCTCGCATCCCGACGTTCTCAGACATGCTTACTAGACCGGCTGCGATCCCAGTCTTCTCCCATGGACACAGCCAATGAAGAGCCCACCGCCGCGCCCAGCTAGAAAATGACCGCAACGTGAGTGAGACGAGGAGCGTTCGACCCCCCAAACTCCCTCTCGCCCTCCGTCTACTCTCGCTCTTGAAACCAGTTCATCCTGTCTTCAGGAGTCGCCCTGAGACTGTCTCTGGAATACCTGTTGGCCATCGTGTTGGCAATTGCTCGACGTCCAGTGGGACAAGCATGATGAAAGCGCGGAGGACATACACTGTCGCGCTCTCTGCCTTTCGGATAACGATGGGGACCCTGATGGACTTGCGATGGTGTGATTGGTAGAAAGCAATGCCATCCTTGTTAATATTTACAACTTTTCCGAGCAAGGCTGATCGTTTCCGTCATCTTTTTCTACTGGTCCTCACGTTTATGATCACACGTGATTAAATGCTATACGTACTCTTTCGCCCGAGATCTTGCATCCAATCTATCTACTACGGCTGGATTTCTTTCTATACAAAGACCCATCCATTCCAATGGCCGTCTTTTCTGTGCCGGAGTGAAAATACCGTACAAGGCGGAAAACCCCCCATTATTTCCCGCCAAAGCATACTTGGATCTAGCGTCTTGGAAGAGTAGAATACCGTCCGCGAGCGAGAGGAGAAGTCGACAGACTGGCGTGGTTGGCTTTATACAGTACAAAATGTTGAAGTGAAGACGGTTGTGGTGATCGTCCTGTTGTCTTCATGTCCTCAAGAAAGAGGCGCGCAGGTCGCTAGTCTCGGTATGGCGTGGCCGGCAACATGGAACGGCTGTGCTTATGCCTGAATTGTCGGGGATAAAAAGGTGTGTCCTTGAGAGTTCCACAGTGCTGCACGGCTGATCGCAACGATTCCCAAGAGTCTTTCTGACAAGCTCTCCTCTGGATAACTAGCGTTCACAGAGCCCCTCCCAAGGCCTCAACAAGCCAAAGGGCTAGCCGTACTTTCAGACCTACCCTTCGATCAATCCTCGCGAGGTCATCCTGCGTCACAACCGTTGCATCCTTCTGCAAATTCTCCGTCTCTTCTTTCAGCCGTATCTTAAGTCCTTCGTCGCTGGTGAGAATCATTGCTCCAATCTCTAAGTCGAGACTGTAACTCCTTTTCGTGTAGTTGCTGCTCCCCACTACCGTGATGCTCGGACCGGGTTCTTGGACGGCTTGCCCTTTGGCATCTAACTGAGGTGGAAGAGTCACCCACAGCCCCTTGGCGTGGTACGTCATTCCGCCGGGCTCACCAACTGTGCCTTTTCTCCACTCCTTCAGTTGGATCACGTCTTTTTTCCCAGCGTTGTACACGGTACGTAGGAAACGTCGGGATAGGAGGGTATATGCTGCTGGCAGCATACCGCTCACGCCACGGCTGCCATAAAATCCATTAGCCCACGGCGATGCGGTAATCACGGTGCACGCCTTTTCGAAAGCTTTTGTGCCCGGTGTTAGTACCGGCGCGCCTTCGGGGGCGGCTGCTATGAGGAGTTTGCAGATGTCTGGGTCGATATTGAAGTATCCGGCAGTGAATATCCACGTTGATTTGTGCAGTCGTTCGTCTTCGGCGAGGTTTGTCAATAATTTAGTAATTGCAGGCTTCTCAGTCGAAGTGTATTGTGCAAATTCATAGTCGAGGACGGCCATATTCTTCGGCGCACCCAGGAGGACGTCGAATTGGACCAGCGGATAGACGAAGGTCTTTTGGTGCGTGAATTCGACTGGAAACATCTTTTGTCTAGCTTTCTTGTGGATTAATGGTTCCAGGATTTCTTTAGCGTACGCCTTGAATCTTTTCGTGTGCCATAACGGGTCCGGGTACCCTCGCTCATGGGGGCTAAGTAACTCGAAGCCGCCGAGACGCTCCTCGGAGGGGATGAGTTGGTAAGACAGGTCGCAGACTGCTTCGTGAACGGCCCCGTAGAAATCAGTGAGCTCTTTAGAAGAGAAAATGTGGTACCGGTCAAGACGGTTGGTGAAGTAGTCATTGGACAAATTGGCGCTGGCAGGGTTAGAACGTTGCCTGGAAACTGTACTGAAGAGCAGTCATACCCCGAGAGCATTATCTCGTCATCAAAGCCATAGAGCTTCATGTGTTGCAAGCCCCATCCTTCGTTTATCCGCTTGGGCATGTACTTTTTCTTCCATCCGTTCAAATTTGGGGTGTGGAACATGGAGATCCTGACCCGATCGCCAAATTGGACGATCAACGGGGCGATGAGGGTGGCACACGACGGATCAGGATCCTCACGAGTGCCTCGAAGTGCATCGGTGAGGATTGACACCTCGAGGTTCGGATTCTTCTCCAGGGCTTCCCTGAGAGTCTCGATGAGCTCATGCTCGGTTTTCCCAATGTATAATGTAGACAGGTATATCCGTCTTTTTGCTCCTTTTATTTTGGCCTGCAGCACACCTTAGCTGGCCGCTTTCCCACAGGCGCATTGTGTGTCTACCTTCAGGGTATCGTAGAAAGCGGTTGGAGAATCGAGTATCTGAATGTTGTCCGGATCTATCTCGAATCTGGGTGCCACATGATCGAGCTGTGTGGCAACCCCCGCAAGAGGGTGTGTCGTCGGAGCTGGGCCATTGCTGAATGCCGATGATGAAGACGAGGAAAAGCGTCTGGAGAGGAATTTGGTTGCAGGGGTGCGATGAACGCAAGCTCTTCTCGTGGGCGCGCAGCTTCGAAGGACCTGCAATCCAACGTTCCTGGAGAACATGTCCGTCCGAAGGAGATGAGAGCACACAACTGGTCACCTTTCGCACATCTGATACCTCTCCATCCGGTCCATCCCAAGGAATCAAAGAATCACCTTGACTAGTCAGGCTGGTTTCTCAACGCGCGAGCCGCATATGCTCCGTATTTTTTTAATAGAATTTCCACCGATGTCATAGCTTGGCAGATCACGTGAATCGTTACCAGTCCGCGCCGCTTTTATAACTGCCGTGCCACTCACCTTTCCTCGCAGGTGCGACTTCTTGATCAGCTGGGCGCATTTACTGGGTAGCGTTCGGGATGTGAAAGCTTAGTTGCTGCCCATTTAGGACCAACACTAGCCATTCTGGGACGAATGTGCGGGGTGCGTCTTCCAAATCTGATCACAGAGACATGTCAATCTCCCCAAGTTCATGAATATGCTTGCGGAAGTGCCCTTTGTCACAGGCGTGAAGATAGGGATCTCAATTTATCCTCCTGATTTTGCAAGGTAAAGCTAAAGGAACGGTGTTGTCCAAGTAACACAAGTTGGACTCGGGCTTGACTCCTCTCAAAGTAGAATTCATGGGAATGAATAAAGACACCATATTCGCTACAGCATCACCCAAAATTACCTGACGATTCAGCAATAGGTCTTCCTACCAAGGGCAACTAGACATCACGATATTGTTGGCGTTGTAGGTATTGTCGTGCTCAGCAAACATGTGCAAAATCTGTAGCCGAAGCTCTAGGTTTTCGGGAAGTCCAAATAATAGCACAAACGCTCGAGCGTCTGTTATCTCAACTTCCCCCAACTCACCAAGAGAGGCAAGGTCATGTAAAGCGGGGATGTCACCCCGTGGCCGCACCTTAACGCAGGGTAAACCGTCTTCCGGATATTTGTCGTAGAACATTGCCCGTGGTATTTCTGTGTAACCACCAAATCGTCTGTCCTGAATACAAATACGCCCAATAACCCTGTAGTGTCCGAGGGACTTTCTGACAACAAGCCAAGAATTTCCAATGATTCTGAGAAGAACGTCGATGTTAGCGTCCAGTTTCAACAAAGAGTGAGATCTGTTCCACGCCGCCAGATCGTTTACTGCATCGACAAGCGGGTGACTTTGGTGGGATAGGGGATCCTCTCTAGGCTCCGGAACATTTAACTTTCCTCGGAAAACTATCTGTGGTAGGAAAAGCCTCCTTCGCGGTCGTTCGTTTTCAGTCTGTCGTAGCTCTTTGTTGGAAGTGCCATCTTCCAAGTCTAGCAACTCAACCAGGATCCGGCTGACGAGTCCAAACTGACGGAGCCGCTCTTTTGTGTTTCCAGCGACGAGATTCTCTTCCAACATTTCGAGGATACTGAAGCTGAGTGTGTTAAGCATCAGTTCTAATGCGGTGCTCCCATAGTCCACCGGGAACTCGGATGCAATCTGAGAGAGTCCGACCAAGGCAAAAACCCGGTCATGTAAGAGTTCACATTCTCGTCGACGAAAGAAGGTCAGTGCAAAGGTCAGACTTTGGCGCGGCAGAAATTTCGAAAGGTTTAAGAACGCGTAGCCAGGGAGGTTTGGATTTGGGTTCCGACGATTGAAGAACTCGCAGTCAGAGAGTTCATTGCAAGAAGCCGATCCTTGAGCAGTTACGAGATCCTCCAGCACCTTCCAAGACATGTCGTGGGATCCTGAGAGAAGTCGTTTGTCCCGGGCCAGCACTGCTTCTTGAACCGTCCAAGCACGTTCAAAGTATTTCGCGGACATGAGATCTGCTATAGCTTCCCGTGCCTTCCTCCCATCCGGTGGAAGGCTATAACGCAAAAAACTTCTGAGCCAAGGAATGTGTTCGCCTTCCTTTGGGCCAAGCCAGATCAGGACCAATCGAGCCGATTGATAAACCCTTCTCATGAGGCCTACTTGATGATTGCGTTCCTGTTCATTTTTTTGATCGATGCAAATAGCGTCTATCCATAATAAGCTCTCCTCCTGCAGCCACTCCTTCTGCCGCAGTCTGACGAAGTGCTTCAAGAACTCAAGCAAGTTCCTTGCGACGGGAAATGGCTTTCCATTCAGAAGTATGTGGCCAGCTGGTTCGGGGTCTCCCCATACATATGACAGCGCCACATAAGGCGGTGGACTTATACCATCCAAAGTGACATGCTGTATGGAGCATGAGATCAACCCTTTTTGATTGGGACAGGAGGATCTGTCTCCCTGAGGCGAGTTTGCATATGCATGGTCTTGACGGCTCGGTCCGTGGATTTTCAGTACCCGAATTTGACGAGTTTTCAGGTTCAGGCGCTTATGTTCAAACCACTGCATGATTTTGAAAAAGAACTCAAAGTTCCGTCTAGAGTGGACTGCGGCCTTCAAGGCAGCGGCAGGAAACTGTATAAGGCAGACATAGGGGCCCAATCTGGCATTGAGGATGGAGAGCTAACCGAAGAATTAAATAAAGGACAAGCAACGTGAAGGGGGCCGCAGCAAGTTGAAGAGTTGAAGAATTAGTGCCTTGGTACTGCAAGGGCGCCTCCTACCGCCTAACGATCATTTGTTAACATAATGGGTAGGTGAGAGGCACTATTGCATTCCGAGAACGAATGGATGGTCGGTCATATCCCCGGATGGGAATGTTGTGGAACGAAGCAGAGAGACTCTTCAAAAGTCCTCCGGGCACTTTGGTCCTCGTTGTCTTGGCTACTGCATGGACAAATGTTGGCATAGTACTTGAGGAAGCCTATCGCATGTTTTGTACACCATTTGCAAGGCTCTAGCCGTTCTCTTAGACGTGCCCCTTGACAATGGTAACCTTTCTTTTTGCAGCCTCATCAGTTCACTCTTTGGCAAGACGTATACCGCGACTCCGAACACATGGCTTTCCGCTGCCAGAAACCGTCCATTGCCGTGCAAGTTTCGTTGGCTTATCTTCACTCTTCTTTATCCTATGATGATGCATCCACACGCTGATGAGTCCTGGCAAGCCGCAGCTATCAGAGTCTAGGCCAGATAAAGGGCCGGCATCCTTCACCGCAACAACCATCCATGGATCTTGACAAAATAGGTCAGTGATAGCAGGTTTGAGGACATTGAGATACGCTTACAGTCATAATACTCGCCCGTCTTCATACAGAGCATGTCCCATGTGCGCTCTGCAATGCTATCAATTCCGATGAGCGTGTCCGTACTGGCGGTACGGTCACGCAGTATCATGGCGTCGCAGCCAGATAGTGCACAAGCATCCGCGGGCTCCCTGAAGATTCGGATGTTATCAGGCCGTGTTGAGAGGAAGCCCCACAGAAAGCCCGAACTAGGGGCGCCTGAGATGTTGACATTGACTTGTAGAGTTTCAGAACCGTCTTTCTTTGCGGAGTTGGTGAAAAGTCCGATGACTTACCCTTGACGGAAACCCAGTGCACAGAAGGGCAGGGCCCGTTGTCGAACCCATGTAGCTTTGCTCCAGCAGAACAAACCAGCTCTTTACAAGGATCATCGTCCCCAACCATCCAGTTCGTCTAGCGAAGGTAAGCTGGCGCTCTTGGATATTATGGAGGGTAAATAGGAGGTTGATGACGTGAGGATGGGATCGAGGATCTTCATACATTCTGGAAGCTCTCGCCCGCTACCATATAGTACTAGACGTCCGGCGTCTGTCAGCTTAAGGAGAGAAAATACCTTCCCACAAAACAGTCACGATCTTGCGAAGGAACTACCTTCATTTGAGTCAACAAATGCAACCGGCTCGGCAGCCAACAACTCACGGTCCCTCGGCTCAATAGTGGCATCACGAAACCACGCAGAGGGTTTTGTTGCGCAGCAAGGAAAGGGCCATCCCGGCTCTGGAAAGCGTATCTGCCGTCTTGCGGAGTCTCGAAATAGTGAAGGGAGATCGATGAGAATAAAAGCAAGGCGTTGAGAAGGACCAAACGAGAGAGTGAGTTTTGAGAAAATGGTGCTCGTTGTGCAAAATAAAGAGCTTAAGGTTGTGGAGAGGATGTGCAAGAGAGAGATCAATGAGAGATCAGTGAGAGACTTCGCTCTCTTTATGACCTGCAGCCTCCCACAACCCTAACCAGCCAATGCTTTCTCACTTCCGCGACTTCATCAACCAAGAAAGATGAGAATCAACTTCTTTACTATGTCAATTTGATAGCAGCTTCCCTCTGAGACCTGTTCTCTTCTTAAGCTCTTTTCTTTCCTCTCTCACGTATCGCTCAGTAAGACGCCCTCTCCTCTAGTCACAGCAGAGAGCTTGCACACTCACACCCTGCCCGTAACCCGGGACTATCACCGACCTCTCCCAGCCCGTTTAGACTGATCAATCCGTGCGTAACCGCGTTCATACCTACCAACGGACCTGTCCGATCAGCTTTTGGGCGAGCAAGCTTCCAGTCCCCTTTCATGCTCGTCTGTCAGCAAGGGTCCATCTCCTTCGTCTCCAATGTCTCCAAGAAGACCCAATCCCTACAAAGTGCCGGTGCGTGAGCAGGAAGGCCTCGTAATCGAAGCGCCGGACGTAGAGTCAACTGCCAACCACGAGGATCGATGTTGCAACAGTTGCCACGGCTCCCCAAGCCCAGTTTGGCTCCTTCGACTCATGAATTAATGCCCTCTCCCTTCCAGAGAATGTCGAAGAGGATAGAGTGGATCAGGGTGTAGACAGTGAAAATGCGGGCTATCTAGCGGTGCTGCTGGAGATATTTCGGGTGAGGCCAGTTTGTCATCCAGAGCAAGACATTGTTTCTCGACGAGAAGAGCAGGAGCAGAGGTGCCAGGGCGAATACGAACACTCCCGTGCAGTACGCGACGTAACATGTCGAGTAGAGGGACCGCAGACACGCAAAAGCACAATAGGGGTCGTACGGTAAGATGCCATAGCCAACAAGACCTCCTCCAAGAATGTCTCGGGCCTAGAAGCAGGCTAACCAGACGCCCGAAAGACCCTTCATGCCGACGCATAGCTGTGGTACAAACTAGAGAGTATGTCTTTTGGTTGCAGTCAGCTTGTAGATGGTGTTGAAGATTTAGGACACCCAGCAGTGAAAACCTAGAATGACAAAGAACTGGGGATAAACCGGGGACAATGGTAGGGCAGGGGAGCATAGGAGGGATTGCCTTTGCGACTTTTGATAGAGACATACCCCGCTAGTTATTGATAGGGCTCACTGGCCAACAATTCTGTTTAGGCCGAGATTCACGATCCATTTCTCCAGAGCGAAAAGATCACCTAGGCCATATGCTGTGTGGAGATGATACCGTGGGTGGAAAACTGACTTTTCGGCGTGAACAAGTTTCCTGTCCAGAAATCAACCATGAACAAGAACCGAGCGCACTCGTCGGTTAGTTGCGTCAACCACTCGAGAATAGCAAGAGGGAATATTATCGAGGAAACAGAGTATAATTTCAGCGCTCGTGGCGTATGGCGATGTCGCTTGATCGTACGCGAACGATTTCAACCCTTTCTGTTCGGTCGGGCAGATTCTCAGACTCATTCGAGAAGAGCGCTCTGGCGATTATTAGCGTCCCAAGAAGTAATATGCGCGCCATGTAACATCCAGGTTTCTGTAACATGTACGGAGTAGTCTGCACGGAACTGGACTCCATATGGCCGGGACTTTATCGCGTCCATGATTGGTTTGCTTGTGAGCGGGTGCACAGAGCGCGTTATCGGAGAAATATATCTAGAACCGGAAGTGACACCTAACGAACAGGCAATCATTCGTACCGTGAGCTGATGGAATATGATGCAAGCATTTGCCGAGTGAAGGTGCTTGGTGTTCAACAGTAGAGAGCTCGAGGGACTTCGAGATGGCACGGGGGATCATTGAGAAGGCAAGAAGGTCGAGGTGAAGGATGTTGAGGAAGATCGATTGGGAAATGGTGCTATGCTGCTTTAACGAAACTCGATTTGACCCTATAAATACTGCCAGGCGCCAGAAACGCATAGAGCGGCATGACGACTTGGCCTAAAGGTGCCGTTCCCTTGGCGCACTCGCCTGGCCACCAGACCGACTTGGATTTCGACCTGGAATCCGAAGTTGTTGTCAGAGCGGTGTGCTCATGGCTGGTGATGAGATGAAAAGTTGTGAGCTGACACGAATGATCCATTCGGCGTCAGAGTCTCAATTTGCCATCTTCCATGGACAACGTTGATAATGCGATTTACGGAGCTGGTCTTACTTCTCCTCGTCCCCCTCGTTGCGGGTACATCGAATTCATTCACGACAACAATCACGCCTTCCACTTGTCCTTTCCGCACGGTTAACTACATTACTCATAGTCTCCCTCAGCAATGCCTGGCATCTTCTCGGAAGACGAACGTAACGTCCACAAACGTCGAACCCACTGGTTCTCCCAGCGAGAATCCCGCATCTTCTACCTCTTCCGCGTCTGACAGTTCTCATCCGACTTCCTCCCCATTGGCCCTGTCTACCATTCATTCACAATCCAAGATCAATTCCTCTGTTCAAACTGCGCACACCTGGCAGGAGCAGCCAACTCCGGCTCCTTCCCAGACCGAAGTGCATGGTACTCCTTCAGGCACAGGTCATGATGTGTTGGAGGAGGATTCTCCGCTCGAAATCGGAAAATTCCTATCTTTTGAGGACTGGAAGCGAGAGAATCTCAAAAAGTCGGGTCAGTCTGAACATATTGGCAAGGGACCTGGAATCGAAGGTCGAGAGCCGAGGAAACGACCCGCGTCTTTGCGGGATTCCCTCGACTCCTTGGGGGACGATGCTGAAATAGATTTGGACTTCTCCGGCTTTGTTTCTGACACCCTCGACCCTCCAAACCCGGGCCAACCCAGGGCGCATCAGGGGATCCGCGACAGCTTGGTCGAGATTGAACCGGGGCGTGCTCCGAGAGCCGGTGCGAGGAGCAAAGACGCTGGCACAACCTGCAAAGAACGATTCAACTATGCCTCTTTTGATTGCGCTGCCAATGTTCTGAAGACCAATCCGGAAGCAAGAAGCGCCTCGGCCGTGTTGGGTAATAACAAGGACTCTTACATGCTCAACGAGTGCTCGGCTCAGAACAAATTCTTGATCCTGGAACTGTGCGACGATATTTCAATCGACACTATTGTGCTGGCAAACTTCGAGTTCTTCAGCTCAACTTTCCACACTTTTCGAGTAGGCGTATCTGACAAGTACCCAGTGAAACCCGACAAGTGGAAGACACTAGGGACTTTTGAAGCTCGAAACACCCGTGAGGTCCAAGCATTCTTGGTTGAGAATCCAGTCATTTGGGCACGATATCTGCGCATCGAATTTCTCACTCACTATGGCAATGAGTTCTACTGCCCCGTCAGCCTCGTAAGGGTTCATGGAACTACAATGCTGGAGGAGTACAAGCACGATCTTGAATCAGTCCAAATGGAGGATGACGGTAAAGTGGACCACGAAGGCGCCGAAAATGCAGAAGATAGACTTGTGCCGGAAGCAGTGGCCGAGCAGCTTTTGACCGAGGCCGACGTCCTCGAAAACTCTATCAAGACTGCTGATCCAGCAACTACATCGGATCCATCCCAGATGGAAGGTTCTCTCAATACCACTCAAAGCCTCCTTGAAGTTCATAAAGGCGCAATTTCCACCTCGCCAGCGCTTTCGTCGAGAATCTTCAATGATTTGGCAGATCAAAACCATCCGCTCGACATGTGCAAACCCAAAAAAGGCAATGCAAGCACCACTTCCGATGCTCTGGATCGGCAGCATGCCACTCAGTCCCCTGATACGGAGGCTACGAGATTTGGTATGGATGTCCGAGTTCCGAGTTCTATGGGAACGGGCAATGTCACAATAACATCCATGGACGGGTCAGTCACGACGTCTAAATCCGATTCTATGGTTGATTCAGCAGCTGCCAACGCTTCGTCTGTTCCCTCTACCAGCAACAGTTTGAAACCATCCGCGTCCTCGACGCAGGCTTCTCACCCCGCCCCAACAATGCAAGAGTCGTTTTTCAAGTCGGTTCAGAAGCGTCTGCAAATGCTTGAATCAAACTCTTCCCTGTCCCTCCAATACATAGAAGATCAATCCCGCGCACTTCGAGATGCATTCCACAGAGTGGAGCAGAGACAGCTGGCCAAAACAACGTCCTTCCTCGAACATCTCAACACAACAGTCCTCAATGAGCTCAGAGAATTCCGCCAACAGTACGATCAGCTGTGGCAGTCGACAGTCATCGAGCTTGAGATGCAGCGCGAACGCTATCAACAGGAAAACATCGCCATCAATGCCCGGCTCGGCGTACTTGCCGACGAGGTCATCTTTCAGAAGCGAATGTCCTTCCTGCAGTTGATTCTCATCTTGGTATGCCTCGGGTTGGTGTTGTTCTCCAAGGGGAATTTGAACAGCTACCTTGAGCTGCCTCTGGTGCAGAGTGTCTTGTCCAGATCTCCGAGTACTCGATTTATTAATGTCTCCAGCCCTGACACGCCCTCACAGAATTCTCCAGTGTCAAGATCTAACTCAGCGGGAGGAGTGCGAAGGCGCCTGGGGATTTTAAAGGGCCATCGGCGCTTCCCTTCAGAGGACTCAGTTGAGAACGCGTTGAGTCCCGCCGATTTGTACTCGCCAGCGACGCCTGTCAGCTTCGGGGATCCTTCATCGGACGGCGACGACAAAGAGGATAGTCACAGACTTGGAGATCCCCAATTCGACCCCAGTCTGATTGAACGACCTAGTACGAGCCCACCGGTGCTGGCCGGGACAGAAGCGCCTACTGGATCTGAAGCTAATGTGGAGGTCACGGCCAATTCCATTGACACGGTGCTTCTTGGGCCCTCATCGGATGGCATACAAACAAAGCCTCCCATTGTACTGGTCGCAGATGCTACGCCCCCTCCGAAACATCTTAAGTGGCAGCTACCAGAGAGCTAGAGGCATTTTTGAGCTCTTATGGCGCAGGAAATAGGAATTGGTGAACTCCTACTCTGATGAGAATTGAGCCCGACTCGTTGGTTGGATGGATGTCTTGGGGCAAATGCGTGCCTGGTCAATACCATCTGCTGAGACAATAAAGTCCAATTCACTTTATCTGCCATTAACACCCCGCATCCTGAATCTGCACAAACACGCCGAACGCTACTTCTGCGCCGTCCTTCATACGCCGTCGGCTTGCCCGTTTCTAGATACCCAACCAGCTTCCTTTCGAGACCAGTCATTCTATCTGCAGACATACCATACGAATGGCAAGATATCGGCCGGATTCTTGAGTGAGCAGGATATTTTCCGGCCGGATTGCTGTCAACCTACACAAGAGTGCACGTGAGAACAAGCTCAGGGCGACATTTTATACAGTCGCGCAGGAACAAAGCGAAAAACATGCTGATGAAGCATATGTAGCAAAGCCTTTTGATCATGGGGTGTAGGAAAAAGAGCACAAACAAGGGCCCGACGACGAAAGGGCCCAGAAGACGAAGATGACGCACAAGGATGCATTTCACTGTTGCAAGATGGATTGAGACTGGTTGTTGTGCTGAGTCGAGATGTGTGTCGGTTACTGGGACGGGTCAACATCTTTGACCGGCGAGGAGTATCCACTCCTCATACTGTAGTTAATACTCACATACGGAAATCGACCTGTATCTGGACGTCCTCTTGTACGTCCGATTCGCGCATAACTGGCACGTGGCCATTCCAGGTTGTGAATATTCCCTATGAATGCTTCTTCGCTACTTGGGTGGGTTGACCGCTTGTAATACCTGGTAGGTTGCCACCAATGGCAGTACTGGGTACGCAACCATCAGGTACCCAGTACTTGAAACTATCTACCCAGTAATTGGCGAGAATTTTCACCAAGTCTCCGAAACAACATGCCAAAATTGTTGCCGTCAGGAAAGACGACATTCATACCCATGGATGTTTGAAGTCAACTTCCACAACATTGTTCTTAGATGATAATATAGCATTGCCTGGCTGTCGCTTTATTGAGAGTAAGAGAGAGGTGTCCATTTTGTGCATTGTGGTTATTCTTTCAACATGCTTCCATTTTTTTTGACTGGTCGGACAACTTGAATCACCCGGAACGGATTAAAGACAGTGACTATTCTTTATTACATGGTAACTTGATATCAGGCGAATTACAATCTGCAACGCACGAGGCTCTGAAGAAGAGGGGCCCAGGAGGAATGACTGCCGACAGCGACAGCGACAGCGACAGGGAATTCGTATTCCAACAGAAACTTCGCCTAATGTGACCGTGAGAGTCGGGCGCCACCAACATTGAGTGGCGTCGGTTTTCATGCCACATGGTCTCGCAAAGTCATGTCTATTCCCGCCGCTCTCTCTATTCTAGACCTCACTGCTGCCTCTTTGTGTGGCATTCCTTAGGGTTGATAGCTCAGGGTCCATATAGATCCTCTGTTTCTTACCTCTTCGAGGAAGACCTTATTAGCGTGGCTTGACAAGTTTAGCAGTCCGTTTGCCTTTTACCTCTTCCAACTTCCGCAGGCGTTTTTGACGGTGGTGCAAGGCTACGGACCAGTTCAAGAGAGCCCTCAGGCGAAGGCTCGCGCTAATCGCGACGTGGCTGAGACTGTTCACTGACTTAACCGTCCAGTCCCTCCATAACGGTGCTAATATCTGAATAGGCGCATATGGCGGTTGGGGTGAAAATGTAACTTCTGATATCTCCTATGGCAGAAAGATGTCTTTGTCGATTGACACGACGCAAGCAGTCCGAAGATGCAAAACCCATTGGCAAATGACGGCAATGACGGCGTTGACGTGCTATGGGCTCGCTATGGACTGTGCCAGTGCTCTAGCTGTTCTGAACCCTTCCGACTCGAGACTCCCACGACTAGATTTTCGGTCTCGGGATGGTCTCGGCGCGATAGAGCAACATGGTCGACTTGCGCCGACAATTGCCCCCGCGGAAAAAGATTCTTCCGCCACCACGAACATACCCATCTCACCGTCTCGCCAAGTCAAGACCGTCTTTTTCGTCGCAACCACTACACCAACATTATCGATTTTCCCCTCGTCTTTTCATATACCATGCCCGCAACGTCGATGAGGGTGTGTTGCAATTCGTTCACAGCTTGTTGGCTGTTGTAGCGCGGGCCGTATTGCGCCATCTTCAGGTTCCGACGGCAGATGGAAGAGGGATGTATGTTCTCCAGGTAGGTCGGTTCTGAACCTGCGGTCTATGTATTGAAATAGATGCGTTCCGTCCCTATATACCTGGGTGCCCCTTGATCCTGTGCGATGTGATCTGCCCAAAACGGACACTGCAAGTACTCGACATGTCAAGGCTCAACCTCTACATTTCGGCTGCCGTTGCTGGCATGCTCATGTCTGGCTATCAAGTGGTGATCCAAGGCTGTGCTCTCGTCGTTTCTGGGGAGCATACGCTGCAAACACTGTGATCGCGGACGCTTCAGATCAACAATGGCAGATCCCAGTTGCCATTCAGCTGCTCCCTGGAACCATTCTGCTTCTTGGCACTCTCTATATCAATGAAACACCCCACTACCTCGCTGCTATGGACAACATCGATCAAGTGGAGGATTCTCTGTCCTGGTTCCGAGGACTGCCCATCACCGACAGGGGCGTAAAGCTCGAGGCCAAAGAAATTTCCATGACGGTACTCTCTGGCGTACGTCGGCCAGCCATCCACAAACAGCATTTCCTCCGTAAGGCACTCAGCCATCCAATCCGCAAACGCCTGACCGTCGGAGTCGGCCTGTTTGTCGCACAGAACATGTCGGGAATGAACGCGCTGAATTATTATGTGGCAATCATCTTTCTGACAGCAGGCTTCGAAAGCGTATCGGCGTGCCTGTTTCTGACGGGAATATTCGGCTTCGCCAAGCTCGCCGCCGCGCTCCTCTTCATGTTCGTCTGTGTGCGTATCTACGGGAACCGCTTTTGGCTCCTCTGGGGGACCAGCATATGCGCTACATCAATGTTCGTGCTGGGATGTTGTACGGCAACAATGCCAGAGTCGTCAGACAATGGAACCGTCCCGTCTATGGTCCGCGCCACGGTTTGCGTCATGAGTGTCTACGTGTACGCAATCGCATTCGGGGTTTCGAGCGGGCCGATTGCCTGGAACGTCTGCAGCGAGATCTTCCCTTCTTACATCAACGCACAATGCTGCGCGGTCACGACGTGCACACAGTGGTTGTTCCAGATCATCGTGGCGGCCATCACGTCCATCCTGCTCGCCTCCATTCGGCCGGTGACCTTTGTCTTGTACGGCCTCTGCAACGTCCTGGGGATGGGATTCTACTACTTCTGCGTGCCTGAGACGAGGGGTATCGCGCTGGGGAAGGAGATGAGTCGTGTATTTGGCCAGCAGGACCTCAAGGACGGCGAAGACGGTGAAGCTGTGGAGGAGGTGGAGGACGTAGCCGACCATGAGACGCCTTTACTTGCCGCGGAGAGGCGGAGGAGGAGAGGTTCAATTGCAATTGTGGTGTGAAAATGTTCTCACAATTCTCTTTAGCGTGGTGAATTCAATATCTTGAGTCTTCAACTTGCCAGCGACTGCGGTCTTTTTCTTCCCCTCCTCTCCAGACCAAGTACCGACACATCTCAAAGAGGCAGCATTGCAACCTTCGAGAGGCAAAGCTTCCTCTTACATTGGACATTCAAAGCTTGGAAATAAACTTGACCCTGTTCGCCACGGCGGTTTTGGCCGTCGATATCTTGGGCGCAAACGACTCAAAGCTGTGCGGCAGGCCGGGATAGACGTGCATCTCGACGGGGATATCGGCCTCGGCGTGGCGGGCCACGTACTTGATGTTCTCATCCCTGAAGATGTCCAGGTCCGGCACGTCGGCGTACAAGGGCGGCAGGCCGGCGACGGACGCAACGCGCGCGGGTGCCGCGTAAGGCGAGACGTCGACGTCAGGCTTGCCGGCGCGGTCGCGGCCCAGGTACGCGGCCCAGCCGGTGAGGTTGTCGTCGGGGGTCCAGGTGTGGAAAGGTTTTGCGGCCTCGAAACGGCCCTGGTTTCGGTCGTCGAGCATCGCGTTGACGAGCACCTGTTGCGCCAGCGGAGGGTCGAGGTACCTGTCGCGCGCCATGATGGCCACGCCCGCAGCGAGCCCGCCGCCGGCGGAGTCGCCCATGATGGCGATGCGTGCGGGGTCGATGCCCAGCTGCGAAGCCGATGTCGAATGCACCCACTTGAGCGCGGCGTAGCAGTCCTCGACGGGCGTCGGAAAGGGGAACTCGGGCGGCGACCGGTATTCGACGGCGAAGAACGGGATGCCGCTCTGCGTCACGTAGCTCTGGATCTGCTTGCGGTACAGAGGCACGCTGAGGCAGAAGAAGCCTCCGCCGTGCGTGTACACGACGGCCGGCAACGGCGATGCTGTAGCAGCAGCACCTCCTTTCTTCGCGAAGCGGTGCACCTTTATCTCGACGCCGTCAAAGGACGCGACCTTGAAAATTGTCTCCTCGACGTCCTCGACCGCAGGCCAGTTCCGCATCAGGCCCTCCCACATGTCGTCGATGTCGTTTCGACGCGAGGCGACGTCGTAGGGTGGGTGTTTCGGCGCCGCGGCCATGGCGGCCAGCATTGGCTCAATGGCCTTGTAGTATTCGGCATCATACTGGTACGGCATCTTCCCTTTTTTTTTTCCCCCTCTCTTTTCTCCTTTCTGATTTTGGCGTGCCCTCGACTTTTGAATTTCTCCGGTCTTGATATACGAAAAAGCTGCTGTCCTGGTTAGTTCTGTCCCCAAGCGTTTCGAGAAAAAGATTGCTCCACTGTCGCTGTCTGAGGTATCTCTCTATATCTCTATATACATCAAATGTATATGTATGTATGTTACTCCGCAAAAGGCAGACCAAGCCTGCTTGATTCGTCCGCTACTTCCCCCCGGACTGTTAACTAATTATTTGCAAGGTGCTGCTGTGGACCTCAGTAGGCTGGAATAGAAGGAAAAGGTGACAGTGAGATGGACCCTTGGTACGCGTTTTCCGCGGGGAGGCTTGATCGCCGCTCTCCTCTATCGAGACAGGTACAGCTAGATCTTGGGTCTTGCCCACGATGTTCAAGGGAAATGGGGGCGCCTGGTGGACGATATCCTCGGGTGTTGCAATTCGCGGGCCGAGGAAACGAAGGGCACACTCATTGCCTTGTATTGTCCCTCCTCGTTGGCCTCTCACGATCCTGTATGATACTCACATCCCGGTCTATCGTCACCCTATCCTATTATGTGGCTATCTCATCCCCTCCGATCCTTCTCGCATTCCCATTTCCCCTGGCGCGTTACCTCAAGGCCCCACATATGAACTTCTCCAGTTAATGCATTTTGTGCAGAGAATATTGGCCTCGATCTCTGGCATTAAACACTCAAGAAATGACAAGGAATTCGCAAAGAAGTATAGGTCCTTTGTATCCATGGCCTCCCTTTCGCCCTGGCCAAGGTGGAATACTGCCAGTTGAGATTTGTTCATGCGGGCACCGCTTTGCCCCTCCTGAAATCCCGCAGCCTTGTCACTGTGTGGGGCCTCGAGGAGCACGCAATAACTGATTGCATGTACGTGGTATTTAGCCAAAGATACGAACATCTATTGACTTCACCAAACCAGGTCCTTGATTACTCTGGTTCACCTGTTGCCCGGCCCTTGGAATCACCATCTCAGACTATCCCGTGCGTGTTATCCGATCGCAACCCAGCAAGATGATGCCAAAGCATCAAAGTGCACAGCCGGCCACCCCTTGCACGATGCCATTAGCGAGAGACTAGGTGACTGTTTCCAGCCGAAACCTGCCGGTTTCGATCTCCATTGAAACTGGACCCTCGAAGTCTCTGAGTGACTTGAAATGGCTGAGCTGTCCGCGGTCTCGCCCTCTTTTTCTGCTGAGAATCCCCTCGACTTCGCCTTGTCTGTGATGGGATTAGTGGCTTGAATCTCCGGGTTAGAATCTTTGTGTTTGCAGCAAAGAAGGTGTACCTACCCTTTTGTCCACCCGGATGCCAGAATTCAGACCGACTAGGCTCTGGACGGCCAGCAGGGGACGATGATGGGGAAACTACCTTGCGACCACTTGCAAAGCTTCCGCCCACTTTGCATGGCCATATGGACTTGTTGTCTTTGCACGTTGCGTGCGAAGAAAAGAGATTTCATACGGTCAGAAGGTCATCTCAAGGATGAGGAAGGCCGAGTAGAGATTCGCCTTGGGATTAGCACGAGCTGAACAGAGAACATGACAATTCCGGCGTGGCCGTCAATAAGGCTACAATCTAGTTCAACGCACACGGCAGGAAAGGAATCCAACACATTTGCTGCTGTAATTCATAAATGGAATTAACACAGTTCGGTTGCTTTTGGGACCATTCGGGCTCACACCAAACACGTTCTGGAGCGACAAAATTCTAGTGTCCTTCAGCATAAAGCGACATTCATCTCCCTCATGTACTCCTCACCTTAGGTCCGGTCAAGTGCTTGGGTACTAATAGCCATATATAACCGCCGCGTGTGTTGATATGCCTGACAAACATGCCACTTTCCTCGGCAGTCCTTCAAGTGTACCTGTGGACAAGTGGAGGACCGCCGATGACCCCAACGCACTTGCACGGCCTGAACGCTCCCTCTTTCACAACTAGCTCGAGTTGACTTGACACTTCTCGCAAGTAAATACCCGCCCTTAAACATGTAGATAGTCAAAGCTCCGACCTCTTCCACTTCATCTTCTGCGCCTTCTCTATGACCTTGTATAGATCCGTATCTTTCAAATCTTGGCCGGTAAATTTCTGGTAATTCTCTGCGGCGACTGCGACAGCCTGTTCGTGTTTCCAGACAAGGACTCCAACCGCAAGTACCAGTAAAAGTAATAGGACGATGGTTATCGGTGACAGTGGGTTCCGACGGCGAGGATGGAAAGGAACTTTCTCGCCGGTGTATGCGCCGTCAGGGGATTTGGGAAACCATTCCTCGGTCTTCGCACGCTTAACGTTTGGGTTGATGCGGTTCGTTTTGGACATTTCGTGCAGAATCTGTGAGAGGTCGTCGGTCGAGCGGAGTGCAAGGGAGAGCAAATATGGTATGCCAGGGCCTAGACGGGCTGTCTCAAAGGATAGTTCAGCGCAAGTTAGTCGGGACAGAACCAACGAATCTGCGCAGACAAAGGACAAGATGGCACACGAAGGGGAATCGGGCGTCTGTGATAGGAGGTCTCCCCAACACCGCAATGTCACAACATCGGAATGAAGTTGCCCCAAAGCTGAGCATTCAGGCGGCCCAGGAACCGTGTCGTTCGGGATCGATATGGTGCTGACTAAGAGTCTAATATTAATACATACCGAGTCACCTACCGAGCCAGCTTGGCTGAACCCGATAGATACAGTACGTGTCTCGGTAGTGCTCGAGCTTCGGGGCGTGGCTAACGGGGCCGAAGGAAGGGCGGCGCTGACGAGATGGGCTTTAGATCCTCTGATCATACGTTCATTTGACGAGGAGCAAAGCCATCGGACAGGTGTTGATTTGCCGGCAGGTTCCTGCAGCAAGTGGTAAGATTGATGTTGGTCAACTAAGCATGCCCAATTTGGCCTGAAGGGTGTGTGGCCACTGGGCTTTAACAGCAGATACTCATCCAGTGGATGGATGCTTGATGTTGATCTGATCCGCGTTGCACCCCAGCAGCTGGCAGAATGGCTTGATGGGAGCCTTTCCTGCTGCCCTGCAAGGCTGAAATACAAGGACCAGTGACGTCAGTTGCTAGCGCTCCTCAGCCTCGTGGCTTCAAAGTACTCCTCTTGTGACTTCTTCCATCGTCGAAGTCGGATGACCCTTCCAAAGTGCGTTAGAGGCCAGAGTTAGGTCTCTCTCTCTCTATACGGTAGCCGACTGATCTTACACCTTGAATGTCCTTAGCTCAAGCGGAAGCGAGAGTATGCTTTCCGCCTGCCCATTCTCCACAAAGATCTCCAATCTGTCGCTTTCGGCGACCGAAGGAACGAGGCTGGGCGACAATATGGACCAATACAAAGACAAAATCATTATATTCTGGACTCTGACATCATAAAGGCCATGTCTTCGTTACCGTGTTGGATATTGACTTCGCATTCACGCAGTGTCTGCTCTACATTTCGATCGCCCAAGATCAGTTTCATGTTGGTATTCCAATAGCATCGACAGCCAAGCCGGCAAGGGCCAAATATGACGATAGCATCACCTTGATAGGCAGACCATATATGGGAATATCTGATTCTTGTAGAGCTGTTCGATATGCTGCGCTCAGGAAGTTGATCACGATTCAAGGATTCGGCAGCCATGTCACACCTCATCCACGACTCCTTCTTCGGCCGCTTAGTGTGATACTTGTCGAACGGCAAGTTGCTGCCGCACGAAGAGACCAAAGACCCTGCCTTTCTGGAACGATTTATTGATGGCTCATCGACTCCTGGGGGAAAGTCGCCGCCGGAAAGACCTGCTTCGAAAACGAGCACTCTGAATCCAAGCGATGGAGAACTGGCTGAGAAAGGACGAGACTCGCATATTATTGGCTGGTATGGACCTGACGATCCCGAGGTGAGATTCCCCTTTAATGGCCACAACCCAAGATACAATACGATCCGTTTGATCATCGATATAGAACCCACTCAATTGGTCAATCCTCACCAAATGCGCTATCACATTTGGACTGTATTACTTGACCTTCGCACTTTATGTGGGATCGTCTGTCCATACTGCTGGTATTGTGGGTGTCATGAAGGAGTTTGGGATTGGCCAGGTACCGGAAACACTCCCGCTGACAGTTTTTGTACTGGGTTTTGGACTAGGTAATGCCGTTTTTGATCCGTCTGATACCCCAGGTCGGCAGTGTTTGTACACCTCATACTGACAGTGTGGCCAGGGCCAATGACATTGGCGTCACTTAGCGAAGCTCCTGCTGTTGGAAGGACGCCAATTTATGTTTGGACACTGCTCACTTTTGTCTTACTCCAGATTCCGGTCGCCTTGCCGGTCGATCTTCCCATGCTTATCTTTTTTTGGTCCATTACAGGTGTCCGCCCCTTGCCACTGACGACGCCTTCGTGGCGGAAATATTCACCCCGCGAAAGAGTGGACTGGCTATCGGGATCTGGGTTGTTGCAGCTGTATGTACTGTAACCTCTTAAGGTGGCTGGAAAGTGATATATCAACCTGAACCAGATCTTTGGCCCTGTCTTTGGCCCGCTTCTTGGTGGCTTTGCGGCTCAGTCTAAAGGTTGGCGATGGACCATGTGGGAATTGATGTGGATCTACTGGATTTGCTCTCATCATGCTGTTCTTCTTCCTGCCCGAGGTCAACTGAAGGAATATCCTGTATCGAGGGGCACATCGACTCCGACATCTGACAGGCAACAGTGTACTCATGAGCGAAGGAGAGATCGCCTACAAGCACATCACCGTCAGAAAGGTGGCGTACCTCACTGTCATCCAACCTTGGACCCTGACCTTTACTGAACCGCTCGTATTCCTCCTCCACACATGGGTGGCGCTGATCTTCGGCCTCTTGTTCATCTGGCTCACGTCGTTCCCATTGGTGTTCGAAGGAGTCTACGGGTTAACCCAGGCCAAACCGAATTGTCGTTCCTCGGTCTTCTTGTCGGAGCGCTTCTCTACATTCTCCCATTCGTCTGGTACGATCGTGGAGTACAAGGTAGGATGTTTGACGAAGGTGGTCACATTATGAAGTCCGAGCAGCGTTTGGTTCTCGCAATGATTACGGCCACCGCAATCCCCATTTGTCTCTTCTGGTTCGGCTGGAGCGCCTAAAAGTATGTGCACTGGTAAGATAATTTCACCAACTTTTTCCTGCCCCTCTTCGAAACATTCTGAGTCCTGACTTTGATCTCCCCAAAAAAAGGATCATGTCCATAATCGGCACATGCTTCTTCGCCATCGGCGCCCTGATCATCGCCAATGCCGTCCTGATCTATCTCCGCGACGCATTCCCGTCGGAAATCCCGTCCGTCATGGCCCGTTCCGCATTCATGCGCTTCTCATTCGGTGCGGCCTTCCCCCTGTTCGCGCCGGCCCTGTATCACAACCTCGGGATCCACTGGGAAAGCAGTCTGCTGGGATTTCTAGGGCTAGCATAGGTGCCAATCCCGTTCCTGTTTTACTTTGTAAGTATTAACCTCCAATCTCCGCCTTCCTTTCTCTCTCTCTCTCTCTCTCTCTCTCTCTCTCTGAGCAGATGAGCTGTCCGGGAGGAAGAGATAGATTGTTGACGTGTCTCGACCTCTTGGTTTAGTCTGGTGAGAGACTCCAGAATGCCAGTAAGCGAGCACGCCATACCTGAGTATGGAGCACATCGTGCTACAACGTATGTACCAGGGCGTGCGTGCTGCTGGCTCATTGCCATCTTTTCGGCACTAGATCGTCGCTATTGACCAGCGAAAAAAAAATGAGAAAATGGCGACTAGGAACTGGTTTGCGCTGTTGTATATCCTGGGACCGCCAACCGGGAAATTTGATTGGGCTTCTTGCTCTTCTTGTGCCTGCGTTTGTACAATATGAACACTAAGATATACGATTCACAAGAAGAGAGGACATACCACGCTCGACGAGCTACGAGAGAAAGTATCTTGGAAAAAGCACGTGCAGCTGTGATGGCGCTTTCTAAAGACGCAGACCCCGATGCGAAAGAGGGTGGTATATTACAATTTCGTGTCCGTGATCACACACAAGATACAAACGAGCAGGGTCTAGGGAGCCAAAGGTCATATTCGAGAGACCTTTCGGTCCTGTCCTGTCCAGCCTGGGCGGCACGGCCAAAACCATATATTTCTCTTCCCCCAATTGTGAAACCATCATTAACCCATGAATCAAGACTCGATAAATAAAGTCCTTCATTCAGTCGTCGTCGTCGTCGTCTTTACCGGCCCTAACGGCCCTGGCTTTCCTCCGCGCACCCTTGAAGTGCTTCTTGTTGTTGTTGTTGCTCATCCTTAGTTCGGCGGGATCGACGTCCTTTTCCAGCGCCGCCATCATCTTCGCCTTGCGGCCCGTCAGCTGCTTCTGCTGTAGCTGCTGCTTTCCTTGTTCCGTGTATTGGTGGTTGAAGGGCATAGTCAGATGTCCTGCGTTTCCGGACCCGGGACCGAAGAAGCCCTTATCCAGTTGCTTCGCCCTGGTGCCCTTCTCCACAGGGGCGGCGGGTGCACGGTGCTGGAGGAGTGGGTTCGATGGTCCTTCGACCTCCGCTTCTGCAAGTCCTGACTCTTCAGAGTGCGCGATCAACCAAGCCTGTCTCTTTGCAGGCAAATGCGCGAAATCGTACAGCTTCTCATTGAATTCTTTTCCATAGGCCTCCGTGTCCGTCTCCGGGTCCCCCGACGGTGGAGGATGGCAGTAAAGCAATTTCCCGTTCACATAGTCCTTCAAGATATATCTCGCTGCGCGTGACTCGTCTGGTTGACTTCCCGGTCCCGTTGTAGCGAATCCCCTTGCGCGAGCGTACGCCCTTAGCATTTCTGACGCGGTGGGCACGCCGGTGCCACCTTCCTCCAGGGGCCGGTTGTGAATTTTCATCCCATACACGTTTTCGAGAAATGCTTGGGGAATGCGTTGCGCAACGAGCCCGGCGGGACCAGTGTACTCTCTCAATTGATCGATCGGCAACACGCCATTGCAGACCAGCTCGGCTTTTGTGGTTGCGAAATTCGGAAAGACTAACCCGGGACAGTCGCAGAGTATGACGCGGTCTGAAAGATGGATTGTCTGAAAGTGTTTTGTCTTGCCAGGGGTGGAGGAGACGGATACTTTTTTGGAACCGAGGAGGGCGTTGATGGTGGAGGACTTGCCAACGTTCGGATAGCCAACTAGGCCGATGGTCGTCTTTCTGTCAGCTGCTGTGGAATCCTTGGGAATGTTTTCGAGGAAGAGGGATTCGAGCTCGTCGACAGTGAGGATTTGAGTGTCAGGATGTGACGAGGCTGAAGTTTCGAGTCGCAAGCCGACCTCTGGACCTTCAAACTGTGATTCTTTACCTTCCGACTCTCCATCCTCCTCTTCGTCGGTCCATTCTTCTCCCTCTTCGTCCTTCAAGTTTAGATCTTGAACATTCTTCACCATCGCCTTCTCGGGCGAAGTGCGATCAATCTGCTGCTGGATCTGCCGTGCATCAAGCTCTTCCAGGGCATCTCTTCCTTCATTCATCTCCTTGGCCAAGTGAGCCGAGAAGAATTTGTAATTGATGCCTTGCTTGTGGAAATAGTCCGCCCATGCACTTCTTTGCTCTTCAGTCATCATATCCGCCTTGTTGACCAGCAACAAATTTCGCTTTTTTGCATCAACCTCTTTGACGTATTTCTCAAGGTCTTCGCTTCGGAATAGGAGTGGGTTCCGAGCATCAACAATCTGTACCACTAGATCGGACCGCTCGATTACTCGCCACAGTTGTCGCCATACTTCAATGTTCCTCTCGAACGGTGTCATAAGCAAGTCGTCATTCTCTTGAAGTTCGGCAAGCCCCCGTCTCCATTCCAGCAGACTCGCCCTTTCCTGTTCGTCAAGCTGCCGGGGGGTTGTTGTCTCGTCCCATTTCGGCCTCCTGGGCACCGTCAACCTTCCCTTATTCTGAGCATGTTTCTTCCTCGCACCCCTCTCCTCCGCCGCACTCAACAGATAAGGGTTTCTTTGGTCCGAATGGATAATTTTGACGTTATTCATCTTCTCCGCGGTGAAGTCTGTGCCAGCCAGTTCGGCGGTAGAAAGAAATTCGTCGAGGGCACCCTGTTCGGTAACGCTGCGCATTTTCACCCATGATGCTTCCTTTGCAGCATTTGTTACATATGTTTGGCCTGTTGTGTGGTCTGTCCTAACTACTCCTTGTTGAGACACTTTCTTGCGGTCCGAACCTTTGCCTCGTCCGAAACGATCATTCATGAGGCTGTTGCCCAGCCCCACGCTGTTTTTGCTCTTCGGAAGGACCATTTTGAAGGGGCAATGGAGGTTTTCCAAGGATTAAAAGGAGGGATTTGGTGGGATACTGCGAGGGAAAGTGAGGTCGCAAGACCTCGTGTTTTTGGGGGGGGGGGGGGGTTGTTCGCAGAGAAAGTGAATGTATGCGGAGGGGACGTCATATGTACTATTGTACGTAAGTAATGCGGTGGCTGTGGCTAAAATTTCTTAGAAATTAATTTTCCGCAGGCATTTCACCACCCCCACCAACATCGACCGCCTCAACACTACGCTCGCTTACCAAGTTCGTGCACTTGGATTTGAAGTCAAGATGCCTCGAAAGCGCTGGATGTAGGATTCGCACCCTTCTTACGATGGACATGGAGACTGATCAAGGCACAGCGACAAGAACAACGCACAAACATTTCAACTGCTCTACCGCCCACAAACCGACCCAGCTCTCCACGATGAGGCCGCCGGCGAGCGGGCGCTCTACCAGGTCTCTGGACCTGGCTCTTCGTCTTCTTATAAACCAGAGTTTAAGGAAGGACTACACTTGATCGATTTGGAAGGCGATCTGGACTTCGAGCACATGCGTGAAAATGAGGGCGAGGCGGCACAGTACGGGATTTACTTTGACGACACCAGCTATGATTACATGCAACATTTACGAGATATCGGTGAAGGGGAGGGAGAGTCATATTTTGTAGAATCAGTACCGGTCAAAGCTCAGGGCAAGGGCAAAGGCAAGACGAAGACGATGAAGTTGGAAGATGCACTGAGAGAGTTGTCGGTGGATGATGGTCAAAGTGTGGCAGGGAGTGATATGTTTTCAACATTCTCGACTTCTACGAGGCCAAGGACGTATCAGAACCAGCAGGATGTACCGGACGAGATTGCGGGATTTCAGCCCGATATGGATCCAAGACTGAAGGAGGTGTTGGAGGCATTGGACGATGATGCCTATGTGGACGACAAGGACGATGATCTCTTTGCTGCCCTCGCAAAGGATGGTCGCAATGGGGAGCTCGACCTAGAGGAGTTCGAGGCCAATTATGTGGAGGATGAGGACGAGGGTTGGGAGTCAGATGTCACAGAAAAGGCACCTGTGCGGCCTGCGGAATTGAAGTTAATGCCGACTGTCCCAGCCAGCAAAGACGGAACTCATCTGGATGAATTGCCTGCTCCAGATGCAGAGACAGCAGCAGCAGAAGATGGAGACTGGTTGCGAGACTTTGCGAAATTCAAACGGGACAATGCTCGAAAAGCGCCGCCAAAGGCCGCGGAATCTGTCATCGCTGCTTCCGCCATTCAGGACCAAGCACCGTCGTTGTACACCTTGAATGGTACTCCGCTGCGACAGAAGAAGCGCAAAGGAGCTTTGACAAATCCCAGCTCCTATTCCATGACCTCGTCCTCTCTCGCGCGGACCTCAGGCCAGCAATTACTTGACGCCCGATTTGACCAGGTTGAAAAGATGTATTCGCTGGATGAGGGCGAAGAGCTCGATGATATGGATGGCGGAATGTCGTTGGCTTCGGGGATGACGGGTCGGTCCAAGATGTCGCAGCTCTCCACCACCAGCTTCGCAGACGAAGGTGCTGTCCGAGAGGATTTCGACAGCATGATGGACGGATTCCTTGGCGATTGGAATCGAGCAAATCCTGGCGGGGGGAAACGAAAAGGGGTCAAAGGCAAACGTGGAAAGAACGGGAACGAGAAGTACGGTCTTCAACAGCTGGATGAAGTCCGCGCGGAGTTGGGGCCCGCAAGGATTTACCGGCGGACAACAACGAAGGCATGAAAGGCAAAGAGATGGCGTTGGAAGGGAGTGTGGACATGGCGCATCATCAGAGATACCCCCCCATCTTGCAAGGATAGTCAATGATTTTCTTTTGCATTCAAGAGCCCGGCAAACTCCTCATGTATGCATCTGTACGGTGATTGAATGATGTAGATGGGCCAGTTTTACGGCTTTGGTGCAAGCTTCCCTCACTCTCGAACCTCTCGGGCAGCAAACGGGGTTGAGCCCTCTCGGGGTTTTGCGACCGGATCCCACGCGCTGTACTTTGGCTTGGTACTGGATTTTCAGGTCAATTCTAGCTTGACCCAGGTGCACACGGCAGGAGGGTTTCACATACGTAGAATATGGACGATAAGCTCCTCTGCTCTGGGTCAAGTTGATCTTGGGCTCTTTGCTCTCCCATGGGCGCAATCCACACTGCAAGATCTTGTCTTCGACGGGGGGTTTGTCGACCAAGTAGCTGATCCAGGCATGCCAGCCGGGGTCGATTTGGCTCGCGTCAAGCTCCCTGTCCTTGTAGTCGACCTGCAAGCTCTTAGCGTCTGCACCGCACAACGACCCTGGGGAGCTTCCTATACCCATCGTGTCCGCAAGGGAAGCTCTTCGGTCAAGTTCTCGTAGTATTTGTTGCCATATCTGTCCATTCCAATGAATGTGCCGGCCTTTGTGTCACCCTGCAACCCAGTCAGAACCCAAGAACCTGTTGTTGGTGCATTGGCTGCGACGCACGATATACTGCATCTGGTGGCCATAGTCTCGGAGGCCGACTCGCCAAAGGTTGCGGAGGGTGCGGGTGATGGTGGACATGATGGATTGCCCAAGGGGAGAGGGGTCAATGAGGCGGCGGCGGACCACGGAGGGGATGTGTCGCCGTCGAGGTCAAGATGAAGTCAGGACGATGTCGGTGATTTTGCTGTCTCGTGTAGGAACGGAAGGTGGCTGGCAGCTCATTGGCTTAGGGGGGGTCCAGGGGAAGCGTACAGGGTAGTTTCGAGGAAGCGAGGAAGCGAGGAAGCGAGGAAGCGAAGTGACGAGGGTACAGGAGGACCGAGCACTCTACCCGGTACTGTAGCTAGGCTCCGATCTGCTTGGCGGGAGATGGTCGGGATTGTTGATTCCCGATTCCTGAATCTGGTGGAGAGTCACCCAGTAGTGGGCTTCCCCATCGAGCCCTAGGCCTGTATCGCCTCTCCTCGCCTTCGTCCGCGGGGCGAAAAGGCGCCTTGGAAACAGAACCAGCCAGACCTGCTGAGCTGAGATTTCTTTACTCACTCACTCGCAAAACCCCTCGGGCCAAGCACTGAGAAAAGAGGCACTTATGATACAATTACAGAGTCCTGTGACGTCCGCCTTGGTCCCATGGGTCCCCCCATTTCACAATGCGATTGTTCATAACTAGGCATCTGTCATAACTGCTAACGATCCCTTGCATGCCTTGCATTAAATACAGAGCACTCAAAGGCTGATAACGCCCGCCTGCCCAATTCGGTCACCTCTCTTTGGGAACAACCGCGATATGACCCCCAGACTCGGCCTCTATTGTCTCTAGCAACATTGGCGTTTGATAGACGTTAGACATGGCCAGTGGCATCAATAGATTCCTCTCCAAACGCGAGGGCAAGCGCAATCGGGGTCGCGGTGACCAGCACCAACAGGATCACCAGCACCACCACTTGCCTCATCACCCTCATCCTCACCCTCTCACCCGAAAGCCATTCTCGTCGGTGAGTATAGCACTCTCTTGTTCCTGCTTCTGCAGATGTGGCACTGCATTCCTACGCACCACTTGCACCACCCAGATTCATGTCGAATGTCCAACGTTTCTGCCTGTCCATATGTACTCCCTCCCGGGAGAGGGATGCCTCTGCTGTATTTCTTGCTTGTTTCCGTCGGCAGCGTCCATACTGACTGCTGTCTCTCCACAGTCCAGCCCCGAACTTGCCTTGAAACCGAGCGATCCAAACTCCGCTGCCGACTTCTATGGCCTGTTTGACGTCCATGCCCCCCCCGCCACTGTGGCAGAGGAGCCTAAGGTGAGGTGGTGTGCCCTCGTTCGGGGCCAATCTGGCTAAATATGCTGGCTTAGATCAAGACGTTACGCCGTCGAATTCTCAACTCCAAAGGTGTGCTGTTAAGGGATGCCCAAATCCTTTGGGCTCTCCGCTCCAATGCCTCCAGCGGGGACTTGGACGCCGCATATGAACTCCTGCTGGCCATGTCCGACGCCTCGGAAGGGATTGTCACGCCGTATGATCCTAGAACGAAGCTCCTCGGTGCACAGAACCGGCAGGGAGTGACGTGCTTCCTCGACGCCACGCTGTTTTCCATGTTCTCTCGCCTCGACAGCTTCGAAGCCATGCTCTATAACTCGTTTAACGACGTAGCACGCAATAAACTCGCGTTCCTCTTACGCCTTTGGGTTAACCTGCTGCGGTCTGGGAAGCTCATCACCACGGACATAACAAAAGTGATGCAGGACACTTTGGCAGAATGTGGTTGGGTCGAAGCGGCAGAGCTGCATCAGCAAGACGCTTCGGAGGCATTCTCCTTTATCACGGGCAAGCTCGATCTGCCCCTGATGACGTTGAAAATGGACATCTACCACACTGGCAAAGAAGACAGCAATGACGATCACAAGTTCATCAACGAAAGACTCCTGGAAGTGGCCATCCCTCCCGACCCGACGGGTGAAAGGTCCGTAATTACGCTTGAAGAATGTCTCGAAGACTACTTCAACAACCGAATCGAGGTCCGAAGGTACTTGGAGCGACGGTCGACAATAAATTCCATGCGCAAGGCGAGCGCAGTGCATGTCGAGACTGTTGAGTTGGACGGCGACCAATCACCAATCACCCCGCTCTCCCCGTCTCCGAGTTATGCATCACCTACCAGACCGGGGGCAAACCGTACTCGAGCACCTAGTATTATCCAAGAGCGGTACATACCTCCACGCAATGAAAGTGGATATTCATCGCTGGCTTCAATAGACTCCAAGGACTCTGCACCCATGTCGCGCATCGGAAGCGTTCGGAAGGAGGTTATGATGCCTGCGTGGCAATTCTTCAGCCTGATTCGTAAGTCCCTCTCCCGTGACGGATGCGGCTTTAACTGAAATCCTTCAGCCTGGTACACCGACAACGTGCCTACGAATGACGCCCAAGTTGCTGCTCACTTCTCGTCGAAACGGCCCGTCCTCGGCCTTTGCCTCAAGAGATATTCATTCACGCCA